TATTAACGCAAAGAAAACCGCACTGGGAATCTAGTGCTCACTTACCTGATAGGCAAATGCTTACAGCGCACTCTGCTGGTAAATCTGTGGGAAAACAGGTTCTCACGTCCACCGCGGGTGCAAGAGTAAACTGCATTTGTGCATCTAGGAATTTACTCTTTACACATTTGCTGTCCCACTGCAGTACTGTTTGTAACAGCAAAACCCTGGAGGCACCCACATGTCCTTCACAACAAATAATCTCCAAAATCTACTGTGAAATGGAAAAAGATGTTGACAGTGATGGGCTGGCTGACATACTTGTGAATAAGAATCGCTGCAGTTCTATTGGCTCTAAGATGCCAGAAGTGACAAAGGCACCATTAATTTGTATGCCGCTAAGAAAGACCACTGCTGATTCAACTGGCACAATCCTTACAATTTTCTATTTGAGAACTTGTTCAGACTTAAGATATGAATTTGTATCATATCAACTTTGGGCACAAATAAAAAGGAAACATATAGGCAAAATAAATATGTTAAGGTATTCAGTGACACCAGGAATGCCTGATTGTACGATGCATTCTGATTTCAGAGTTGCTAAAACATGAGAAACAGCAGATGCCTTAGAATAGACAGGGAGAGCCGGGCGCGGTGGCTCAAGCCTGTAATCCCAGCACTTTGGGAGGCCGAGGCGGGTGGATCACGAGGTCGAGAGATCGAGACCATCCTGGTCAACATGGTGAAACCCCGTCTCTACTAAAAATACAAAAAACTAGCTGGGCATGGTGGCGCGTGCCTGTAATCCCAGCTACTCAGGAGGCTGAGGCAGGAGAATTGCCTGAGCCCAGGAGGCGGAGGTTGCGGTGAGCAGAGATCGCGCCATTGCACTCCAGCCTGGGTAACAAGAGTGAAACTCCGTCTCAAAAAAAAAAAAAAAAAAAAAAGAATAGACAGGGAGTACTGGATTGTATTTAGGAACTCTGGAAGGACACCTAAGAAACTCATAGTGGGGAGGGAGGAGAACTGGGCAAATGGCATGGGTAAGAAGGGAGGTGTCTAAGACATTTTTTGGCACCATGTAAATATATTACCTGTTTAAAAGTAATTTTTTTAAAAAGGCCATTCCTGGGTCATAGTCAAGATTTTGAACTTCATTTAGAAGTATGGCTTCTCCCCTCTCTCAGGGGCAGGATCACAAGAGAGATGGAGGTGCAGGAAGCGCCTACCGGTTTCCTTGGCTGGTGCAGATGCTCTCGGCTTCCCTCTAGGGCGCATTTGTTGGTTCTTCAGATCGTGGCTCACTTCCCTTGAGGAAGCCAACAGACTCTCTGGCTGGTTACTTGCACCTCCTCCTGGAATCCAAGGTCTATCTTGCACTGAGGTCTCCCTGTCCTTCCAGAGCAAGACCCAGGAGAGTCCAGTCCGGGTGCCTCATGGGTTCACATCTGGCTGATGGGACATACAGCACCCGCTGGCCCCTCAGGCTCTTGGGGTACAAGCTCCCTTGGCACCAAGTTCTCTTCACTCCATCAGCCTTTTGCTTTCAAGATCACTCAGGTGTGAGGCAGGTGCCTGGCACCTTCATCATCCCCAAGCTCAAGTGGTCTCCTTGAGACCCCATTCCCTAGGCTGAGGGAGGAGGAAAGCTCCCCGATCCCCTGAGGACTCAAAGCCCTGCAGGAAGTTCCTTTAAATAAAACCGTCCTCAGAGCTCCAGCTTGAACCTTTAACATCTTTGGTGTAGCAGAGAGGCAAGGAGTCACACAGCTAGTTTTTGACCATCTCTTTGTAAGCCCTGTGTGTGGGCAGCAATTTCCCCTGGGAGGTGGAGTGGCTAGTCCCCCTATTGCCTCAGGAACCCAGCCAAATTGGGCTCAAACTAAGGAACTCACCGATCGAACTAACGAACTTAAGGAGGCCACACAGCTAGTACACAGCAGGTACCCAGCAGGCTGACTTCTAAGCCTGAGCGTTTCCTGCTGCAGGTGGTTCACCCCAGAGGCTGATTTAAAATACAGCTCATGGTACAGAGGCCAGGAGGATGGAGTTAGATGGCCTGGGTCAAATCTCAGCTGTCATTTATGAGTAGTGTGTCCTCCACAGCTTTCTCCTCTGATTCTCCAGTCATTTATCCAATATCTATTTAACGGACAGGTTGTCTACTCTGTGTAAGGCACTCGATTTCATTTTGTCAAGATGTGAATAATAAAAACATCTGCCTCATAGAAGTGTTGAGAATTTATGAGATCATGCTTAAGCATTTAACATAGTGCCTGGCACATAGGAAGAGCTCCATAGCAGCACCCATTATTGTCATTTATAAAGTTCCTACTGTGTGTCAAGTGCTTCTCAGACATCATCAATCCCCATAGTGTAAGAGGTAGGAACTATTATCCCTGTTTTCTGAATGAGGAAGCCAAGGCTCAGAGAAGCTTAGATGACTTGTCTAAGGTCATACCTGGTAAAAAGTTGGAATCTAAGTTCAAAGCCTGCCCCAAGCCTCCGCATGCCCTTTGAGTTTGTCTCTTAAGGAAAACCTTTTCGCCTTTTTATCAAAGAACCAACCTCTAATCACCCTTCATAACCCAGCTCCAGGATGCTTTCTTCTGTTTTCTCTGTTCCTCCCTGCCCAACCCAATCATCCCTCCTGCCACTGCCCTTGGGCCTGCCTTTTTCACAACAGTAGAGCCTCGTGGTCAAGGGTTGTGGCTTTGCATTCAGGCAGCTGGGATTCAAATGCCTCTTTCTCTGTGTGTGACTTCAGACAAGTCCCATTGCTGATCTAAGGCTCAGTAACTTTTTCCACAGTGGGCTAACCATCGGCCTGGCACAAAGTGAGTGCTCAAATCATGGTAGCTCCTATTTTGATTAGCAGTAGCAAGTCCGAGTTCTGGCATTAAGGTACTCAAGCCCTCAACGCGGAGGGTAACTGGCCCTTAATAAAGGGCTGAGACAGGGCAGGAACAGACTGAGGGACATTCCTGTCATACCTCCTTCCACCTGACATGCCTTCTCAGCACCTGTTGCAGGAAGGCCCTGTGGCTCCAACTGCCCTTAGGATGCCCCCTTGTGGCGGAGAGCCTGCTTTGGGAGGAGGGACCGCAGTTGCAAAGCATGCACCACGCCTTTAAACCTTCTTGCTTCCCATCTTTTTATATAAGGTCTGGCCTCCATTTCACAGGTTCATCCAAGCAGTTACTTGTAGAAGACCTACTATGTGTCAAGCACCATGTCACTTGCTCCGGATACAAGAGTGAGGAAAAGGCTTATCTGCCCTCATGGAGTCTATGATCTAGTGAGGAACCAAGGAAACAAGCACGTAAATAAGAGTACATATCAGGTGGCGCAGAGACAAGAAAAATGAAGCAGGTCAAAGGGATGGAGGGTGGTGGGAAGGGGCCAGGGCCTATGGGCCTCTGCGGGTCTTAGAAGTTCCCAGGGGTAATGGAAAGCACCCAAAGATGTTAAAGGATAGGAGTGACAGGCTGTGGTTAATGTTGCAAAAGAAGCCCTCTGCCTGGGTGGGCAAGGGCAGAAACTGAGGGACTCAGGAGGTTCTCGTCATAGGTGAGTGACTATGAAGGATGGCCCAGGTGATCGCAAGGAGGGGTGACAAGGGGCACCTGGACGATTGCTGATGGACTGGACATGCCATGAGATTAGGCCACTGAAACAGAGAGATGCAGTCACACAGTGCAGGAGCTGGCTCAGACTGGGGCCTGGGTCAGATGTTACAAGTCAAAAATGTGTTTTCTACTGTTTTCCCTGTCCTGGCCTGGGAGAAAAAGTATGGCCTGGAAGAGAGGGGCTGGGATCCCCAGCCACAGGCCCTAAAACACAGGAGTCAAAACCATTTAAAGAAGGAAGACCTCCTTTTATTTGGGCCTGGGAGTCCAGGGTTGGCAGTTCTCTCTGAAACATGAGGAGTTAGGAGACAGGGAGCAGCAGGGAACCCTTATTTCTGCACCAGCTGCTTCCCCTGAATGAACTCTAGTCACCTTTAAGCTCCTGGCAGGGAAGGGCATGCTTTGTCCTATGGATGGGCATGAAAAGGGCCACTGCCCCACTGGAAGGCATTTTGGCAATGCCATTAAAGCCATGCCCAGCTCTTGCTCCACATGCCTGCTTCTTCCCTGGCCTTCTGCTGAGGAAGCAGCCAGATCTGCGCAAGACTCAACCTACCTACAGGGTTGCTGGGCATGACTGTTAACAAGATCAAACAAACAACCCACATCCCACAGCAGACTAAAACTGCACTTTTAGAAAGGGCATCATGACAATTACCTTGCCTTTTTCATTTTGATGAACTTTGGGTATCTTTCCATCAAGGCATTTCCAATGAATTGGCCTGACCCATTTAATGCCAGGAGGTTCTCTTACTATCGTTTTTGGGGAAACCAAAATGCCCCAGAGAACAACTGCCTTGAATTCAGAAGCCCCAGAACCAGTGGCTGAGTAACCTTTTCCTTTTAAAGCTGTGAAAGCCTATCTGGGTGGATGGACCTTTCCATCTGGACTGCCCAAAACAAAAAACTAGGGCTGGGAATATCCTTCCCCAGCATGGAACCAGACCAGTGTAATCCCTGGTCCAAGGTCAGAGGGACTGTCTCTCAACTGTGGTGGCTGCATCAACAATAGGTTAAGACTTAGATCACCTGCCTCACTTACTGCCCAGAGGTGCTGGGGGCCCTTTGCAAACTACTGTAGATGATTCAGGTTTTAAGTGGGTGTTTTTACAATCTCTTCTGGCATGTACTAATTAAGCAGACACTGTGAGGAGGTGCGGGGAGGTCAGGTATATGTATGCAGGCCTGGCAGTTACGGATGGAGTATATACTGTACTTCATGGGGGCTGAGCACAGGCTCTGGATGGGAATAGGCAATAGCTTACCACTTAGTAGCAGTGTGACCTGGGCCCAAGGTTTTGCACTGTAAAATGGGGCCTTTGCGAAGCAGAGAAGTACTTCTGGCTGCTGTAGTTTCTGTCAAAGCAACCCATTAGAAAGTACAAAACTCCATTGTCCTCATTCTGGTTTTTAATGGTCAAGGTGACAACAGTGTACAGTTTCTCCAGACCCATATGTAGGTTCCACAGTAATCTCCACCTGCTGGAGGAAACGCCATGACAGATGCCATTGTCCCAGCAGGCCACTGCCAGTGTGAGAACTTTGGGATCAAAAGCACCAAGCCAAGTCCCTTTCTCAGGATGGGTCTTGGTTGAAACCACAAGCCCTTCTGCAGTTCTAGGTGGATGTAGTGTTGGTTCTTGGCTCATTGCAGGGGTGAAGCAGGAAAGAGAAAGAGGCTGGTGAGGCCTGCTTGGAAAGAGGATCGAGGCACATTACGATTCCAAACCAGGAGATCCTGAGTCAGCATGGATTCTAAGTCTCTGGTTTGTTTAATGGGGAAAGGGTTCCATCCAAGAGCCCAATGGCCCTCCTCTCCCAAACCTGCATAGGAAGCAAACTTATAGAGGTGGTGGAGGGTGTTTACCAGGTCAGGACTACTGCCTAAGTTTCTGCAAGTCACAAGTCAGCAGGTCAAAGAACTGTGAAGCAGAACTTGCTAAGCAAAGCCAACTAGTGATATTAAACTCACTTCCAAGATGTACCAGCAGAAGCCTCCTGTAAGTACCAACAGTGACAGGTGCTTGTAGCACAGGAAACTCACCCCTTCTTCAACAGTTGATTTGATTTGCCACACATATCACTAGTGAACAGCTCAGTGGCATTCTGACTGTTTATCTTTAGGGCAAGATACCCTGATTCTGAACTCACTTGGGTTGGGTTGGCATGAGCTGTATCCTACTGAAAAAATACTCCACCTCCCTCCTAGGTCCACTTAGACTTCTGCAGGTGGAGTAAATAAAGCCATAATGGAGCCCATGAGAATTCCCAGGAGGGGAGCAGTCTGGATGGTGATGGAGGAAAGGGCCAGGCAGGCAGGTGAAACAGAATCTCAACTGGCCAAGGCCTGGCAAGATTGGATTTCCCAGGGGTTGAGTAAAAAGAGCATAGGGAAATATTTCAGTTTCTGAAGACACCATGTGCATGCAGCTCTGACCTCCCACTTTAGGGGACTCTGGCTGTTGCTCAGTTTTATCTGGGCAAGTGATACATTCCTGTAGGAACTAGTGGTGGCGAAGCCTCTTTCTAAACGTTTCTGCTCCTTCCTCCAGTCATCTTTGGGGCTGGTGGGTGGGACACACTAGTGAATAAGCACTGTGTGCCACAAGTTTTTATGCAGAGGATGGAAGGAAGTTTTGTCCCACAGGCCCCAAGATAAATATAATTTTAAAGCAGTTAAAGCCTGCTTCAGTGGGAGAGTTTCCGTACAACATGCTGGTGATATTCCTTCAATTTTTTTGGTTGTTTTTATTTTTTTCATTAAAGTCCATTGATCGTCACAAAAACCCAGGAAAATGCAACTAAGGAGAAAACAAATGTCCAACCAAGATCTAAGAACCCAGAGCTATGGAGGAGACGTCACACTCGACTGCTGGGTGTGCACAAGGGGGCAGGAGGGGCGATCCCCATGGACCATGGCCACTGGCCGTGGGAAACACAGGAGGGAGGCCAGGCAGCTGGCTGGGTGGTTATGTTAACCGCTGCACGATGACAGCATTGAGCAGGTTGGCTTCCTTCAGGGTCTGGCTCTCGTCAGCCAGCTCTTTGTTCGGGAAAGTAGTCATGAGGATAAAGCTGGTGGCAGCCATGGCCGGCCGGGCATCCACGATGAAGAGTCGGATGTCGCTGATCCTGCAGGAGTTGGGGAAGTGGTGAGCAGTGCCCTCCTCTGCCGTCCACACCCTGCCCCGTGGAAAGCCAAACACCTTGCAAATCCCGTTCCCTGACCTTCTCCACAGAACAGTGAAAGCTACGTTCAAGCACACGGGACCATGTCCTTTTCCTGCTGAGAGTCCTTCACTGTTGTTTCCATTTTCCTTGGGATGAACACCAACAACCTTGCTGTGTTCCCAAGGCCTAATTTTATACCACCCTCTTTCCCCTCGTTCTTTTCTCCCCACTTTTAGTTCATCAGGCCATACTCTTTCTCTTCCCACATTTCGGCCCTTCTTTCCAGAGGCTCCCCTGCCTGATCCCCGTCCTGCAATCCTAATCACAATTCAGGCCTCAGATCAAATGCCATTTCCTCAGGACAGCCTTCTTCAGCTCCTTGTCTCCATCCCTGACCCTCTTTCCACATTTCTGGGATGATCTGATTAAGTGTCTCCTCCTGCAGCTCAGGAGTTCCACAGGGCAGAACATGTCTCTTTTGGATGTCACAGGAGGCACTCAAACTATTTATCAGAAATTAATGGTCAACTTCTCAGGGCCAGGAATCATTTCTCCAGACACTGCCTGTCTCCTGAACCTGGAGATCATATGAGAATGAAACCATGTGGAAACAATGCTTCCTTCCCCAGAGCACTTAAACAAAAGTTTCCTTTTGCCCCAAACCCCTAAAATCTATGCAACTTATAATCTGGCACATCTAAGGGCAAGGACCTGCAGGATTCTGACTGTGACTTTTACCTTTTAGCAAACCAAGCTTTTTCACCCAGCAAAGCCCTCTGCATGGGCTGTTCACCCTGGGAGTGGGCAGCAGTGTGCTGAGCTTAATAAGTGAAATGAAACTGAGGCAAGTAACTCACATCAGTGGGATGGGTTACTCCCTTAATCACCAGGCACTTGAGTGAAGGGTCCTGATGAAGGAGGTCTGAACAGGCCTCCAGATGCTCCTGGCTCACAGCTGGGGCTTGTCGCCTGCTTCTACCCACAGGTGAGCCCAGTTAATACTCAATGACTGTCAAAGCATTCACTGACCCAACATGTGGGTGCTGGCTTAGAGGGCTCATGACCAGTAAAATTAAGACACTTCTGTTATACAGAAAGGAGATGCCAAATGTATTTACTGGCAACAGTCTTCTAGCACCTCTCCCACTAGTCTCTTCACTTTGCTGTGCCTCAGTTTCTCCATCTTTAAAATGAAGGAGGCACTAATCCAGCCCAAATGGTCTGAGATGTAGAGCAGGTATTCCCAGAATTCTCAACAGCCAGATCTAGAAGAGATCTTCCTGGCCCTGCGGTTTTCACAGGCCCCTTGTAAGGAGGGAGGTGGAGGAAGCCAGGTGAGTGGGATGCTGGCATTGCACCACTCACCCTTCCACCAACTACAGCAGTTCGAATTTGATCTCTTCATAGGACTTTAGCATGAGACTTCCTCTGAACAGTCTGGTAGCTAAAAAATGTCCCTGAGAAATCCAATACCCTGATTTTGCAGATGAGGAATGAGACACACAGGGGAGAACTGAACAGTCACTGGCCACACTAATGGAAGAGTGGGGACCAGACTAAGGCTTCAGACTTGTAGTCCTTCCCACCCTCGTGCCTCCTTCGGGTAAAGCATGGAGGGCCTGCTGGTGTTTAGGAGGAATAAGGGCTCTCTACTTCCCACACATTTGCATAAGTCCCAGAGGACACGCCTAGAATACTCTAGGCCACACAATGCAAGGTACCTGTGGCTGTGGTTAAATTTCTGCACCAGCCTCCCGCCGTCTGCAAGCCGAATTTGGATGTTTGTGGTAGGCTCTGATTCGTCGATTAAAATGGAAGAGCTGGCTTTGGCTTCATTTTCTGCCTGTTGGGCTGGAGAGCTGGTACTCAACACCTGGGGGGCAGTGCTGAGAAGAGAGGATGGCATCAGGACACAAACAGAAACAAGGCCCCTGGGAAGAAGGGAACCCCATCTTGGACTGTTACTGAGCATTTGCTATGCGCCTGGCATTGTTTGGTGCTGCTGATGTATTGACCCAAACAGGCAGAATCGTACCCTTATGGAACTTACAGGTCCAGCAGAATTCACCTCAAACCCTGGGCCATACGTTATTGCTAGCTCCCTCGCTCCTGAGTAATGTGGGCAAGTTATTCCGCCTTTTTTCCTCTTCGGTGTCTTCACCCGAACAAGGGCTTGAAGGGAGGAAAGGACAACTTAGGGTGGAAGAGACAGGGTCATGAGGCCAAAGACACTATAGACCAGGGTCAGTTTTAGCCTCCATGGAGTGGTGGAGGGGAGTGTTCTGAGTCTGCAGCTGAGGCAGCCCTGGCACAGCCTGGCAGGTGAGTGGCAGGATGTAAGGGAAGCAATCCAGATTCTTCCTCTGTGATGGAATTTTCAGGCCTGCATTACCTAGTGCACCTCACTCACATGCGTATATCCACTATTGAGGGCAGGGGAGAGAGTTCTGAAGGGCACTGAAAAACCAACCAAGTGCTGTGTACTGCTGGGATTCATCATACAATGAACAGGACACAGCATCTGCCGCAGTGTTAGATTTCACATCTCAGAATCACATGGACCAGGGTTTGAATTACTCAAGCACCCTTAGTTTCAATAAAGGTAGTAATTAGATTTTTAAAGGGTTAAGGCTATAGGCTTTGCTCAGTTTTTGTGAGGATTAAAGGGGAAAACTGCCTAATGCACTCAGGATGGCTGACAAACACAAAATGCACACACAGGACTCCCAATTCTCCATAACTATATGGAGCCGCCTTCTCTTCTCTAAACCACCTGTCCACTTCACTCTCAGTCTTTCTCTTAGCAGACAACCTGACCTAGACCTTTGCAATGGTTTCGGCCATTAGATGAGTGTTTGCTTCCCCTCAAAGCCTCTAATGAGATCAGTTCTTGTACCTTATCCTTCCTCCTTCACAGCCCAAAAAATGGTACTCAGAGCAAATCCAATTGAAAGTGCTTTCCAAAGTGTGATCCATAGGACCTCAGTCCCTTGAGGGACTTCAGAGCCATTGGCATATTAAAGTTTTGAGACTGCACAGTTAAATATTTCCCTGAAGCATATAATTAACAAAGAATGTCTGAAAAGTAAACTTAATTCTTTTCTGTGAATGTGAAAAATATGGGTCTACAGGATTACAAAGTAGAACTCAGAGGAGAACGTCACCCACATTACTAGCACTAGAGGAGCTGCTTCTGTGCATCAGCCTCACAGCATGAGGGACTCAAAAAGAGTGGCTGGAAACACAGTTTAAATCACACCACCATAGGCCACAAGAGTTGCTTGGAAACAGTGAAAAGGTAAATATTACATACCTGTAAATGCCTAAGCTCTACACCAAGTTTATCCCACCACCGAATGCGGCTCAGGATGGCTTTGAATGCAGCCCAACACAAATTCGTAAACTTTCTTAAAACGTGAGGTTTTTCTTTTCGCTTTTTTTGTGTTGTTGTTAGCTCATCAGCTATCATTAGTGTTAGTGTATTTTAAGTGTGGCCCAAGACAATTCTTCTTCTTCCAGTGTGGCCCAGGGAAGCCAAAAGACTGGACATTACCAATCTATACTATCTTGTTTTGTTCATTAGTTTCACAGACATTAGGTCAACTCTCCAATTAGACTTTAGGCAGCCTGTCCCTCACCTATTTATAATAATTCAAAGTACATGTACTCATTGAAACCACTGTCTGCCAGAAAGAGAACTATAATATTTTCATTCAGGCCTAAAATTAGGCCTGTTAAGCCAAAATAGCTGATATCTATACAGGCAAGGGGTGGGGAGTAGAAACAACAGGAGTGACATTTACACCAACTTTGTGCAGGTGCTGTCTAAAGGTGCTTTCATAGCCATGACCTCACCAAATCACCACAACCATCCTTTGAGATGGGTGTTTGTCGGGAACATTCCCGTGTGAGACCCCCAAAAGGCGTGAGTCTCACTATACGGTGAGTTTGATCCCAAACACGGTTTCCTACTGGAGGCAGTTGAGCTATCGGGGGAAAAAGGAACTTAAAGATGGATGATCAGTTTCTAATATCAACCACAATATCGTTTGGGCCTAAAACTATGCAGTGCTGCTAGACCGAGTGACTCCCTGCCAGCAACCAGTTCCTGCTTTTAACTTTTTATGACTCTTTCTTTAAGAATAAGCTTTAACCTTTTCTTTTTTTTTTTTTTTTTGAGACGGAGTTTCGCTCTTGTTACCCAGGCTGGAGTGCAATGGCGCGATCTCGGCTCACCGCAACCTCCGCCTCCTGGGTTCAGGCAATTCTCCTGCCTCAGCCTCCTGAGTAGCTGGGATTACAGGCACGCACCACCATGCCCCGCTAATTTTTTGTATTTTTAGTAGAGACGGGGTTTCACCGTGTTGGCCAGGATGGTCTCGATCTCTTGACCTCGTGATCCACCCGCCTCAGCCTCCCAAAGTGCTGGGATTACAGGCTTGAGCCACCGCGCCCGGCTGCTTTAACCTTTTCTTTACTTGCCTGACTGCCTTGTACCCTAGATAATGGTTTAACTGTCAGGATATTTGCAAAGCAAATGCCACCATAAGGGATGGCTTTGATTCCTGACTGAGAGACTCCTGAATGGGGAAGTTGAGATAAGTTGAGTCAGGAGCAGACAAAGGAGAATCCGGTTAAAAGATATTCTGATGAGGAAAACCAGAAAACCTTTTCACATCTCAGTTCTAAAACAAGATCAAACCAGAAATACCTGCAGCCAGGAGGAATAATGTCTAGATGTAAACAAGCTTTGTGATCACAGGAAATTCTGTTACAACCACTGATTGCATATCCGATTTCTCTATTGTATAGGCCATGTAAGGTATAGATTTGCATTTCCTCTTGCAATGATGTAAACCAGAGCAAAGAAAGTGTATTTATTCCTGGCCTTTGAAAAAATAAAATTTGCTGTTTAGGCATGGCCTATCAGCCCTCCAGATTCCCGTTCTCTGTCTCTCATATTTCTTCAAGCGCACGCTCTCTTCTAGGTATTGGGACCCTCTTGCAGGTCGAGAGACCCCCGGCAGATGTGCCTACCCGTCCCGGACGGTCCCTGACAGGTGTTATCTCCGTTTTATAGATAAGAAAACAGACACACATGCTATGGGCCAGTTTCAAAATTTTTAAAAACTCATGAAATAAACAAACTTGCTTTCTCTATATATTCTGTATATTCCCACCAGTCAGGACTTTGCCAAGCTTAACTCAGTATAATTTATTTTAGAAAAATAATATTTACATTGAAAATGCTTTCTCAAATTTCTCCCCTTCTCCTAGTCTCATTCCTCACTTACGAGCTGACGACCCTCAGCAAGTTACTGAGCAGCTTGGCACCTCAATTTCCTTTTCTATAAAATGGAGATACTCTCCCCATCACACCTCCATACCGTTTAGGGGAAGCAGTCTTTACTGTCCCTGTTTTTAAGGAGAGTTGGTGTGATGCTGGAGAAACGGCACAAGCTTTTGAGCTGTGCCACCTACCATATGGCCTCAGCTCTGCCTCTGAACTAAACAAGCAGTGTGGCTTTAAGCAAGTCACAACTTCCCAGGGCTTCAGTGTCTCTGTGTGTAAAACGACGAGCTGTTCTGTTGTGAGGATGAGATGAGATAATGTGCACGCAGGACCTGATATTTAGAAAATCCTCAGCACAAGGAAGCAGCTGCTGTTTGGGTCTGCTTGCCAGCATGTTCTGTTGCAGAGGACTGGTACTTATCACTGGAAGGATGAGAAAAGCCTGATGCCTGGACTTGGCTGTGTTGCTTCTGACTGGCTGTTTCTCTCACACACTCCCTAAAAATTAGGTGAGGCAGGCTGGCCTGATAAACATGGTAACTGTTTATGAGGCACCATTCCTGAGTCAGGCCCTGTGCTGAGTACTTCACATGTATTAACCTACTTAACCCACAGGCTTAACCCTCAGCCTATGAGGTAGTGATTCATCATCTCCACTTTACAGATGAGGAAACTGAGCTACAGTAGGATTAAGCAGCTTGCCCAAAATCCCAGTGTTGGTTCACAGTGGAGGTAGTATACAATTCAAGCTGTCTGGCTCTCCATCCTGTGCTCTTCACACTATCACACTCTCCTGCTGGACCTTACAGTCTGACAGATACAGGCCTGGATTTCAAGACCCAGTTTCCTTATCAATAAAACAGAGTTAAAACTTCCCAGATAGTTGAGAAAATAGCTAAAAATACGCACTGTACCCAGCACACACTAAAAGCACAAACAAATGTCTATGTGACTATGCTATGCAAGAATATCCAGGATGCTATGCAGGTTGGCAGATAAAGCAGAAGCTGTAGGGACCGAGCTCTGCACTGGCCAGCAATATGGACCTCATTCCCTTATTTGTAGAATGTGGATCAAAACAGGATTAAAGAAGATAAAACATGTGAAATAGTTAGCACAGTGCTTAGCTAACAACATAAAAACTAGTCAATTACTATCATTCTTCAAGGTCCTGCCCCTTATATTTACCTCAATTCTGGACCAAAATCAACTGGAAATGCTATCAGCTGTCCATGAGCTGTAAGTGGAAGGTCACCTGACAGGCATTCCCAGCCTGTGCTGCTCTCAAGGATGGGGAGTGGAAGAGAAAGAGAAACCTCAAGACTAGGCCTCCTGATTCTTCAAATAATAAGAACAAATCATTCAAAGAACCTGAGTTCCACAGTGCTCTAATCATCCTGCAGGGCAGCCACATGCATCTGTTCAAAGGAGGCGGCCTGTCGGCTCTTGCTGAAAACTGCCAACAGCTGGGCTACAAAATGAGTCTCAATTCAAGAGCACAAATCACCCAACACCTTCTAGCTTTACAGTGAGAATAAACTGGCACTAGGTACTTTCTTGCCACAGTTACAAATCCTGAGACCAGCCATCTTCTCCACAAAAATAATCACTACAGAAGGCATGGGAGCAGTTAAAGCTCACTTCCAGCAGCAGTGACTCCTACTCCCAAGTGCATTCTTGCTGTCTGCAATTCGAACCTTCAGATCAGCTCCCAACCCAAACAAACTAATCTAAAACCTAAAACAACAAAAATTTAATACGATTGAATTTTCTCAAAATCTTTGAACTGGGACAACTTATTCACTTTGAAGTATTTGCCCAGATAATTAAGAGAAAAAACTCAGTACTGACTGATTTTTGAAGCAAATCTGAGAAAATTTTGTTGATCTTTTGGCTTCTGATCATTTTGGTTCACAAGACAATGAAAAATGTAGTAAAATTTATGGGAAAAACTAAAGCAGCTGTCCCGATTTAGACTGAAAAGCTAAAGTCCCACCTCACTTAGCTATATAAAACTGTAGCTTTTTTTTTTTTTTTTTTTTTTTTGAGACGGAGTTTCGCTCTTGTTACCCAGGCTGGAGTGCAATGGCGCGATCTTGGCTCACCGCAACCTCCGCCTCCTGGGTTCAGGCAATTCTCCTGCCTTAGCCTCCTGAGTAGCTGGGATTACAGGCACGCGCCACCATGCCCAGCTAATTTTTTTGTATTTTTAGTAGAGACGGGGTTTCACCATGTTGACCAGGATGGTCTCGATCTCTTGACCTCGTGATCCACCCGCCTCGGCTTCCCAAAGTGCTGGGATTACAGGCGTGAGCCACCGCGCCCAGCCTGTAGCTGCTTTTTAAAAAAAAGTTTTCATAAAGAGCCAGAACTGAAAAAAAAAAATGCAAGTGGAACTGGCAGTGAACACTTACTTTGCTGATAAACATTGTGCTGATATCAAGTTCTATCTTGTGCTTATCCTCCACACTAATATTTATTCCTACCATGCTAAAAGACTTCAAAGATAACAATTTTCTGAGATGCAGAGTTACACACACATAATATAGTTAGACTTTCCAATAGTAGAAGCATTTCTTGTTAGTATTATAAAATCAAACCCAAACTGCATGGTGTTCGGAAGTTCTGAGCCCTCCCTTGTAACTGATGGTGGAGGTAAAAAATATAACCTTTTTGAAGGGCAATTTGACATCTTAAAAATATGAAGCCATTTGAGATAAAAATCATATTTCCAGTCCAAGATCAAAGAGTATAAAAAGATTTAATTTCAGAAATATTAACTACAATGTTGTAATTCTGGCATCTACTTAAATGTTTAACAGTAGGGACTGGTTAAATCATAGCACAATTATAGGAGAGAAAATTACATAAGCATTATAATTAAAAGTGTAGAAATACACTTTCTGATATAGGATGATAGCCATACTTCACTGATAAAGCAGGTGATAAAACAGCATATTTACAAACCCATGTAAGTAAGAGTACAAAGATACATTCGCCAGATAGTAACTGAATATTTCTGGGTGTTAGGTTTAGGATGGTTTTTACCTGCACTTTCTATTAAGATGAACATACATTACTTTAATTATCAAAGAAAAAGAAAACTGGGTGCCCTACAAGGCTCATCACAACTGACAGGGACACTCAGTTGTGAGAACAGCTGTTCTGGGCTAGTCCACAGCCCTTGACACGATAGATGAAATGATGAGAAAAGGGATGACTTAACTATTTTGGGCCTGGTAAATCTAATACCCTGAACTCTGACCCATGCTCCTGATGAGGCATCAATGGCCAATAGGAAGGTAAAGGATTCTAGGAGAGGGCTCAGAGGGCATGGTTGCTGGAAGACCAAGCTTTGATCTCTGAAGAGGGTGAGATGAGCAAGGGCAGTAGCTACTTTGACAAATGCCAGATCTAGGTTAAGAGAGGATGTCTCATTGTGCAGGAGTGCAGGAAGGAAAGCCAATAGAAGGCCTGGGGTCTTGGCTCTACCACACACCAGCCATGTGCCCAAAGACAAGCCCTAATGTCCAAGAGTACTAGCTTTCTCTCTGTAAAATAAGAATCACATTGGGAAGGAGGATCACTATGCTCTGAATGCCTATCATGTGTGCAGTTCCCTCTGAAGAATACTAATCAGGTGATCCCATGGCCATGGCCAAAGCTAAGTGCGTCCTGAGAGAAGGCAGCCCACCTATGGGCTGGCTAAGGGTCTGGTGGGAGAACTATGAAGGGTAACAGTGACTATTAGCCAATCAGATATCAACAGAGGGTTTGAATGGAAGATAGAGAATGTCTGTTAGTAGAGGGTACACGAGTGAGAAGGACACAAGGCAGAAAAAATTACAGGTGGCAGAGTGAGTGTCAGAAAGGGCCAAATAAGTAGAAATAAGAGCTGCTGAGCTGCCATAATCGTGGCACACCAGCCTGCAAAAGGGCAGCAAGGTTCTGGAGCATCCTTGCATCCTGAGCAACCCTCTGCGAGTCCTGGCTGGGCAAGAGAGTCTGAAATTCCTTATTCCCCTTGGAATCCCATGTCAGCCTTACACCATCGAGGAGATCACACTTGCCCTAAACACCCTAGATTACTAAGCCATAGCAGTAATTATGTTATACTTTCTGCTTACACTGACTGCTCACTATGGAATAGTGTTCTACAGGCATTAGCTCACGTATTGCTTGCAACAATAATCCTAGGAGTGGACTCTTATTAGTACCAATTTATAGTTGAGGAAACTGAGGATAAACAGTCCAAGGTCACACTGCTAGAAAGTGAAGAAGCAGAGACATAAACTCAGGTCTGTTAACTCCAGAGCCCATGTTCTCCACATTCTATTTCCAATAAATATAAAACTTGAAGTACTTTGTAAACAGTTAAGAGCTAATAACCAAAGTGAGTGATACACAGGGTGTGCTGGGCTTGGCAGGTGTGACTGACACAGTCTGGCTCTTACCTGTGCTGTTCCTTACCTGCCCAGTTTCTGACCCTCGCCAGTGAAGGCTTTGAAGGCTCCTTTGGGCTTCACAAAGTCCTCGTCCCGATGGTCCTCCATATCCAAGTTCACCTGTCCACCGTGGGCTAGCCTCCGTAGCTCTGCTGGCACCTCCCTGTGGGAGAAAAGGCCATGCTGGAGTCCAGAGAGAGAAGATGGAAATGACAGTGATGGGGAAAAGGGGAGAAGAAACCTCTCAGTCCCAAAGGTGAAAACTGCTGGGCCTCCACAGGGAGCAGGCTACATGCCTGCCTCCACCTTTTCTCTTGTCTGTTCAGCCATGGAAGAAACCTACTTCTTATTTGGCCACTTGGGTTTGCCCTCAGGCCCAAAGGGGAAAAATGGACACACAGGTATTTGGAGCAGATCTAGGAATCTGTATCTCAACTATGCGGAGTCTGCTTCAAACAATTTACTTCTTAAATAATAAACATTCTGCCTCTTCCTTTCCTAACTGCTATCCACTCACTGATTTGGGACCTGGAGGAGGGTTTTTTCACTCACCCTCTGCGGATAGACTCTAGAAACTGGGCATTGGATGGGTCTTGGTAGCTTCTGAGTTCTCCATTATCCAGGCTGAATCCACTCTTCCAGAGTTTCAATACTACATGAACCTGTGATGACAGGAAGTAAGCAGTTAATACATTGTCAGGGTTCTGGCAAGCATACCAATTTGAAATCACAAATTAGCAGATTTTTACTATTTCACAGTGTTGCTACTATTAAAACACACATAAACACATATATACATGTGTGCACAAGCAACTCAACAAGCAAACTAAATAAGTATTAACCTAGAATAGGAAGGTGATCTAGCACAGACTAAGGGCAGGGGTTCTGTTTTAGGAGACCTGGGGTTGCATCTTGCCTGTACCACTCACTAGCTAGATGGCTCTGGGCAGGTGACTCAGTCAACATTGTGCTTGTGCTTGGTATGCAGTGCATGTTTGACTAAACAACCATGGAAAATCTTGCTCGTGGACTATTCTAGTCATTAAAAATGTTATCTACCAGTTCTGTTAATAACTCCTGCACACATCACAGCAAAGGGTCTAGAAGGCTAAAAACCAATGCATTAGCAGCTGCTGCCTTGGAGGATAAAATTTTTGTTTTCTTGCTTTATTTTGGAATAAAACCCAAAATGATTTAAAACATATTATAGAAATTAATGATCACCAAACTACAAGAAAATATTTGCAATATAATATTGAATTAAAAAGACTCAAAATTGTCTGTATGATTACACTTGTGGGGAGGAGGCCCCTATGCACAGGGCTAAAAAGTAGTGGACAATAAGAAAAACTAAAAAAAAAAAATTTGTGTTTCAAGCCTTGTCTGGTGGTCTGAAGACCAAGTTCTTCAACTATACTCATATCACCAGAGAACCCCAGATACACTGTACTTCTGCCTGAGATCCATCAGCTGCTCCAAAAACTCCTTCATTTGCCTATCCCCTTTCTCCAGCTGTTCTCACCAGCTCTCTCACCCAGCACCCATGAAAGCTGCCTTTGATTTTCCAGTAAGCCTCTCTGTTCGTGAACCACAGCAAGGGCACTGTCTCTGTTAGCTTCCCCTTTAGAGGCTGCTGTTTCATGCACAATATGTAACCAATCCCTTCAGAAAAATGGCAGAACAGTCCACAAGCTTCCCTCATGGGAAGGTAGATGCACACTCACATCTTGGCTGGTATGTTGCCTCTTTTCTCCTGCCACATAGGCAGACTCTTCCTCTGGTGCTGCCCCAAGGCGGTAGCCACCTCCTGCAAATGGCTATAAGGGACAAGTTCACACACACTTGAGGGGTTGGTCTGTGGTACAGGGATTACTCAGATACAATGATATATCTATCTTAGGTAAGAGAAAGAAAGAGGACAAGGTTCCTGATCAAGCTTGTTAGCTACTAGATGTACTTTCTCTGGTATCAGACTCAGTGCCTACATGGCCAGGTAGTATAGTAAATGAATTAGGTGGCCAGAATTGGGGTAAGAGCTGGAAGTGGCAGTGCCTGGCTAAAGGAAACTCTCATTAATCATGGCCATGTAGGAATTTGGGTACAGGATAGTATCAAAGACTTTTTAATTTTCCCCAGGGAGATAGAAAACCAGATTTTATATAAAACAGATGTCTATGAATTCAAGTAAAACAAAACAAAACAAGTCAAATAGGATAGGCCAAACCAAACGAAACATGTATGTAGAACCCAATCTAGACCATAGGCTATAAGTTTGAAAACTCTTGCCCAAATCTTGGTTTCACGTTAAAGGGTGAGAGAAGCTACACTTGTGTTCTGCACAGAAGACCAAGTAAGCAAATAAAAGAAAGAAAAAAAAATCAGTCACTACCAGGGGTGAAGAAAGTGGCATTCCCAGCTCTGGAATCTCAGTCCTGTGGACACAATGACCCTTATACTCACTCTTGGTTTACTGGTCTCTCCAGGGCTCTTGGTCACTCGCTCCACAGCTACAGCTCCATGTTCTTTGGCACCTTTAAAGAGATCATCCACCAGCTCGTTGGGACTTTTCTTCCTGGGAGGGCCAACAATCTGCTGTCCACTTCTCTCTGAGCCCCCAGCATAAAACCTGTGTACAAAATACACCTATAACACGAAACACTCATGGAAAACATGAAGAGAGCATGTGCCAGGTTGGTGCAGGGCACACTGAGGCAAAGGGTACAATGCTTGTCTTTAAAGAGTTACTGGCTAGCTGGGAACACATGGAAGGAGGCAAGCAGGTACAATGCAGCATGAGCAGCAACAGAAGTCAGTGAGGGGTTTCTGCGTACACTGAGCTGGGAAGGATAGCCAAGGCTTCCTACAAGGGTGTCTTCTGGGTCGAGTCTTGAGGATGAGGATGAATTTATCAGGTGAACAAATTGGGGAAAGGCATTCCAGGCATGCACAACAGCTTATCAGCTCAGGAGAGAGTCTCAGCTGGGAAATACCAATCTGGTGGCCAGGCTCCTCTCCAGGAGACAGTGACTGCAGTCATAGTCAGAAGTAGCTATCACTAGTGACTTGGGGTTAATAGTGGCACTGGCATGGTTAGTACATGCAGCTAGGCTCCAGTCTTGGCTCTGCCACTGTGTTCTGGGTAAGCCAGTGCACTACTCTGTAACTCACTTTCCTTGTCTTTGAAATGGGAGGGAAAGACCACATGCCCTACCTACCTGCTCCTTAAGTCAGAGCCGTGAGGTTCAAATCAGCAGTTGTATGCAAAAGAACAAGCAGAGTAATGCACACAGGTAAGGTGGTGTGACACAGCACCAAGAGCTCCCCCAAGCCTCACCTCGCCATTCATGTGACATACACTGGGGGCCCTGAGGAAGGGGGAGGTACTGGAGGTCAGAGAAGCTCCAATTTCAAATACAAACCCCAAGACACCCACAATGGGCTATGCAATAGGCCAGGCATGGCTTGAGATAAAGTTAGTACTTTTTTATATGGGTCTGAAAACCTGTTGCCATTGAGCCTGGCCTACTGCCTCATTACTCCTATTCACAGCTAAATCAACAGCTTGTCCCCAAGTGGGGACAATTGAGAACCTATAAAAATTAGTCTTAGCCCTCTACTTCCTGACATTCACCAGGGAATGAGAAGCAAAGCCACAGGCCCTGACAAGGGCAACAGTATCAGTGTCCTTTCAGGTCTGAAATGCTAAGGGGTCAAGGAAGTAAGGGGAATGTGAAATAAAGGAAGGTCATCGCCCGCCTGGAGGATGTGACTGGGTGAGAGGAGAATGAGGAAATCATTTAGGAGCTGGTATTCGCATACTTGATGACATTGCCTTTCACTCAGGAGTGTAAAACCCTAAAACTGGCATATATTCCTGTATCTGGGAGTATCTAAAAGGTTTTGAGGCAGTGTGAAGGTCACAATAGGAATAAAAATAAAGAACAGAACACATGAAATTTCTCAGCCTACTTCCCTAAAGACGGCCCATGATGAGGTAACTACATTCCCATAATAGTTATTATACAATTTTCCTTAGGAATGTCTGACAGACCGAGGCAGATCTTGTGAAGAACCAACACCCATGAAATGAGGCTGTAGCCAGTTCATTCTTGTTCATTCTAGGTAGATGAAGTTCTGCTAAATGGACTATAAAGTCTTTATTAAGGGATCTCAAAGCCCCAGCTTCAGAACTAGCAGCCTATGATCAATACCCTTACAAATAACGCATGCCCTTGACCTGGTATTTCCATTTTTAAAAACTATTCAAAAAAAAAAAATCTGAAATGTGGTTAATTAATCCACAAAGACATTCACAGCACTGATATTTACAGTAGAAAAACACTGGAAATAACCTAAATATCAGGCATTCCACATAACAGATTACTATTACAGTGTATGAAAAGGCATATGAAGGATTTTAATGACATGGAGAAGTGTTTGAGATGTAGTATTAATCCAACAAAATCATATTTATTTACAGAACAAAGAATGGATGGAAATATGCCAAAATATTAACTGTAGTTACCAAACGGTAGATGAGTTTAAGACTTTTTCATTATACTAGTCTGTAGTTTCCACAATGGATATTTTTATACAATGTTCCTAAAGGTTAAAAACAAATAGTAGATGTGTGCATGTCTATTGGGGGAATATACACTTATAAGCCTAATATTCTGGTTTTTTTACGTGATGTTTTTTAAATTAAAAAGAAAAAGGTGGAAAGAAATATACCCAAAAAAAAAAAAAAAGGATATCTGGATTACATATGGATTATAATATAATGAATAACTTTTTCTTTTCCTTATTTTTAAAAACTGTAAATTGACAATTTATAATTTTATTTACTTATGGTGTACAAAGTGATGTTATGCTTTATGAATACGAAGTGGATTAAATCAAGCTAATTAACATATTCATTACCTCAAATACTCAATATTTTTGTGGTAAGAACATTTGAGATTCACTCTTAGTAATTTTGAAGTGTACAATGCTCTTTTATTAACTATACTCATCATGCTGTGCAAAAGATTTAAAAAAAAAAAGCCTCAAACAGTATTTCTCCTAAGATTTTTATACCCTTTGACCATCATCTCCCCATTAGCCCCTCACCTCTGTCTCTATACAAACTCTGCCTCTATGAGCTCGATTGTACTAGATTCCACATGTGAGAACATGCTGTATTTGTGTTTCTGTGCCTGGTTTATTTTAGTTACCATAATGTTCTCTATCCATGTTAAGGAAAAAAGGAAGGAAATAACAATGTCCTTCTTAAAGACTGAGTAGTATTACACTGTGTATATATACCACATTTGCTTTATCCATTTATCTGCTGGTAAGACACTTATGCTGATTCATAACTTTGCTACGGTGAAGAGCACTGCAATGAGCATGTGAACGTAGAAATCTCTTTATGAACTGATTCCAAATCTTGAGTCAATACCAAAGAGTGGGACTACTAGATCTTTTCCTTGTTCCCCTCCCCCTAATATTCTTCAATAAATACATTAAGTAACAGGGGACGGGGTCACTTCTAAGCTACAGAGAGTAGAAGAGACTGTTCCTAGGACATAACCCACACAGACCAGCCCACAGTAGTAATGGCTAACAAATAACTGATCATGTTTACCAGGTCCTGTTGTAGGTGATTTACACATTACCCTGGACTTCCCTATGAACTGTCCCCCTGATCCCCTATAAAAGACTCACCTCTGGCCTTCCTCCTCCTCCTCATCCTCATCTTGGTCATGAATGAGGTCTCTGAAGGATGTCACTCTATTATCACTGGAGACACATAAAAAAACAAAATGATCTCAGGGAACATTAAGGAAAGTAACCCTCATCACCACTGCTAAGAAGGTGAAGACACTCAGGTTAGATTTTTGGTTGGCAAGTGGAAGATATATGTGGTGAAAGGTTAATCCCCTAAGATTACACATAAAATAATGTGGCATTTAGTTTTTCAAGCTCACACAGATTGAGTATAAATTAGAAAGTCCTACCATGAGGAAAAATGGAATCCCAATTTAAGCTGTCCTGGCTTTAACAAAAACTAGAAAAGTACTTACTAATATTTAGGGGAAAAAAGCAGTGTTGTATGGGATGGGCACAACTAAAAATGAATACAAGGGAAGGTTAAGTAGTACAGACAGCAGGGAATATGGGCACATAAGAGAGGTTTCCCAGAAAAATGGAATATTTGAACCAAGTGCCAAAGAACTAGTGGACAGTCATGGTGATGGAGCTGCTGGGGAAAAGGGGTTGGTGTAGTCTTACAGGAAAGCAGCATACACAAGTGCACAGAGATCAGAGGGACTTGACAGGAATGAATGAATATGTGGGTGACTGCACTGGAGGAAAGAAAGCCCCAGTCTGCTTCTGCTGCAGGTTAGTCAAGAAGTACTATTTATTTTTAGAAAAAAAGCAGTGTTATATGGAATGGGCACAACTAAAACTGAATGTGAGAAGGGAATTAACATTCCCTCTGACATTGTCTTCCACTACCACTTTCTGCCTAGTTTAGATCTGCCTTTAAGGAACAGGCTTAGTTTTTTGATGATTATGAGATGGAAATTTTATAACGATAAAAAAAAAAATTCTATATTTCTTAGGGGAAAAAGCAACTTCCAAATAATATGAGAGAAAGAGGTGATAAGGTTTTGGCTCTGTGTCCCCACCCAAATGTCATGTTAAAATGTAATTCTCAATGCTGGAGGAGGGATCTGGATCATGGGGGTGGATTTCCCCCATGCTGTTCTCGTGACAGTGAGTTCTCACGAGATCTGATGGTTAAAAAAAAGTACTCTTAAGTACTACTCTTCATGCATGCTCTCTCCTGTCACCGTGTGAAGATGTGCTTGCTTCCCCTTTGCCGTCTGCCATGATTCAAAGTTTCCTAAGGCCTTCTAGCTATGCTTCCTGTATAGCTGTGGAACTGGGAGTCAATTAAATCTCTTTTCTTCATCAATTACTCTGTTCAGGTAGTTCTTTATAGCAGTGTGAGAACAGACTAATACAGAGAGTAATACAGGTTTAGCGAGGCTTTAATGAGTTGTTTACTAGGAAGAAAGCTCCAGTTCAGTCTTGAAGATTTATTTCAAGGAAGCAATCAGGGGACAGAAGAGTTTTGAGGTTCCATCAACTAGAAGTGAGAGGACAAAAACCAATCAATGTAGCAAACAAGCTCCCTGCATGAGTCGGCTCCTGAGAACAGCCTCCTGGGCATTCCCTGATGCTCGATATGACACGGTTCAAAAGGATCCAAGTGATGGGATCTGTACTAGTACCCTGAGAGTACTAGTTCCACTCATTCATCTTCCTAAAGGGAATTCTCCAAACATATTTAGCCTAAAGTTTCTTCCAATGCCTGGGTTAGGATGAGCATATATGAAAAAAATATCTTCTACTTCCCTGTTGTTAAAACTTTCAAATATACATATATACACTTGCTTGGGCAAACTGCTTTCTGTGGTGGCTTTGTTTCTTTCCCCCCATACACCCAGACTGATGGTATCTGACACTGATTCTGGTGTCCATGTACCACGTTCCAATCCCAATTCTGCCTCCTACTGTTGGGATCTTGGACATGCTATTTAAATTCTCAAAGCCTTCATTTTCTCACATGTAAATGAGATAATCATAGCACCAACTGATCGCCTTTCTGTGTACAGGTGGGGTACTGATGCACGGAAACCCTTCTGCATGGTGCGGCACATTTAAGTACTACTCTTAAGGAGCAGTTCTCAAGGTGTGGTCATGGACCAGGAGCATCAGCCTCACAGTGAACCTGTGAGAAATGCAAATCCCTAGGCCCCCTCTTAATTCTCCTGAACCAGAAGCTCTGGAAGGGGTATCCACCAATCTATTCTTAAGGAGTCCTGAGGTAATTCTGACATACATTCAAGTTCAGAACCACTGTCTGGAGTAATGCTTTGAGTCACCTTATGGCATGGATGTCCTAGGGATATTACCAATTTCAGAATATTTCTGTTCTATGGTCTCCACAAATTGGCAAAATATCTCAGAAAGTTCAATTTTTCAACATTAAAACTATCTCCCGCCGGGCGCGGTGGCTCAAGCCTGTAATCCCAGCACTTTGGGAGGCTGAGGCAGGTGGATCACGAGGTCAAGGGATCGAGACCATCCTGGTCAACATGGTGAAACCCCGTCTCTACTAAAAATACAAAAAATTAGCTGGGCGTGGTGGCACGTGCCTGTAATCCCAGCTACTCAGGAGGCTGAGGCAGGAGAATTGCCTGAACCCAGGAGGCGGAGGTTGCGGTGAGCCGAGATCGTGCCATTGCACTCCAGCCTGGGTAACAAGAGCGAAACTCCGTGTCAAAAAAAAAAAAAAAAAAAAAAAAAAAAAAAAAACAAAAAAAAACAACTATCTCCCAGGCTACTCTGGCATACCGAAGTGGCACAAAAGTCCTTCATCAGATGCCATTTTCTGATTTTTAATCTGGTCACCCTAGCTCTGCGGCAGTGCCTCTCTGTGATGATGGAAATGCTGTCTGTATTGTCCAACTGGAAAGCCACTAGCCATATTTGGCTATTAACTATCTGAAATGTGGTAAAAGCAAATGAGTAACAATGCTTGCTTAATTCTAATTAATTTAAATAGCTAGTGGCTACCTTATTGGATGCTGTAGTAGTTTTAGAGAATCAGACAATGGGGGTCCCTGAAAGTTTAAAGTACAACTGTTGCTGGATGAAAGAGCGGGGAAAAAAGGAAGAAACTGTTACCTCTTGCTTGACCCTGTATACAAGGGTGGGAGGTGCTGGCAGGGAGGTAGCATGTGGAAGTAGAAGCATCTTTGGACTTAGGCAGACTTGGCCTTGAATCTGCGATAATAGCAGCTGTAAGTTATTTGACCTTTCTAAGAATTAGGATACTGATCTGCAAAACGGTGAGCACCTTACCTACTTCAAAGCTGTTGAACAGTATCACAAGAGAACACAGGTGAGAAATATGGCAGAGCTAGAAGGACGGTGACTGCTCCTGAAATACTAGCCCTCCCAATTCCAGGAACTTACAATTTACCTGGGGAGAAAAATTAAGTTAAATATCAGGTAAAGACTTCAGGGTAATGCAGAAGAGATGTCACCCAGTAATATGTGGATATAGTCAAATAACTGAAGGAGTGATAGTTGTGATTGGAGCTCTGTGGAACAGAATTATGGTGTGCCACCTAGTCATGGGGTTGGGAATAACACGCTCAACAGAGGAGTGGGGATGGAGGTGAACATGGAAGGATGCATGGGATTTGGATAGGCAGAAAGCAAGAGAGTGGGCACACCTGATCAGGTGAGAGGTTCAAACAAAAGTGGAATCGAAAATAAGGAAGAACTGGAGCACCAAAGAAATTAGTTTGGTTGGAATAAAGGAGTTCAGAAATGAGAAAAAGGGAGTCAGAGGAAAGTGGGCCCAGGGTAAACTCTAGAGGACTTCAAATGTCCATAAGAGGCAGAACATTGTTGGGGCTGAGAGCTGAAATGCTGAATGCAGAAACAGCCCTACATTTAAACCCATGTTTTACTAGCTCTGTGATCTTGGAAAGATACCCAACTTCAGTGTCCTCATCTATAAGACAGGAATAGCACTAACCTCAGAACTAATAGTACTAACCTCGCAGGGTTGCTGTGAGGACTAAAAAGATGTTCATGTAAAAACTTAACCCAGTGCCTGACTCCTAAATACTCAATAAATGGCAGCTGTTATTATTGAAGAGTTTAAACTTTCTCCTTATAGCAATGGTTAACATTTTTAGGTCTCTTGGCCCCTTTACGAATCTCATAAAAGCCATGGACTCTCCTGCCACAAAAAGATACCTCCAATGTGTACACAAACTTTTGCTTACAATTTCAGGTATTAACAATTTAGAGACTTTCTCACGCCCATTCGATAAATTCCTCCTAGGGTTCAGAAGCTTCGCGTTAAGAAGCCCTACTCGAGAGCTGGGTGTTGCTGAGGCAGCAGTGACAACATAAAAGGATATGTGAGAAGTTGAAAGTGGGGGAAGGAGAGAGTGGCTAAGTGTCCTGCAACAGTCAGGTGGAAGCAGAGGCAGGCCCCACACAGAATTCCTCTGAGGTGCTAGCACAAGTTTGGTTTCTCCTGAGAATGTAGTCCTAGCATTTGCTTTCCTCCTCAACAAAGACAACCATGCAACAGACTGTGCCCTCCTCCCTCCCTTTTTCTTGGCTTCAGTTCCTTTTCCTAAGCCCACTACCAAGTCTGAGCCTTAACCAGAGCAATAAAACAATGCCTCTTGGACTGAATGTGTGTCTAGTCTTTTTACTCACTTCAGTTCTAATGTTAACCTCTATGTCCCTAATTCTTTTATTTTATGCCTATTATTAAATGTACACACTTGTTGGGGAATAGGCAGGGTAAACAAAACAAGTTGAGAATTAATGCTAAAATAATGATACTAAAATTAAAATAACAACACATATTGTGTTTTATGTACTTTGTAAGCATTAACTCATTCAATTTCCCATGTGGTAGGCACTATCATTCCTATTTGACAGGCGAGGAAAAAGAGGAACTGATATGTTAAGTAACCTGCCCAAGGTCACAAAGCTTTTACTTAAGTGGCAGAGCTGGGATTTGAACCAAGGCAGTCAGGCTCCTGGGCCTATGCTAATAAATCACTGCCTTAATAGAACTTTGAGACTACTGGAGAAGAGAGAGGAGTAAACATGTAACTGGCATTAGAAATTAAGTTGCAATCTCTCCCCCTCTGTAATTCTGACATGCCAACATCCCAACAATACCCTTAGGTGGCTGTCGAAAGACTCATACCGCAGAAAATCAGCCATCTCTACTAGCGGCTGCAAGAACAGCACTTACTCTAACAACATGTACTAAGCAGTAATACCCAGATGTGCCATCACCAACATCTCGCAGGTTAGGATGTACAAATAGTTAAAAGATCACTTTTCTACCACCTCTTTTCTCTGGATATGAGTTAGAGAAAGAAATTAAGAAAGCAATTGAGATCTGGAGTTAGTATTCCTTCTTCAAAGGGAGGAAATACATCTTAAACCTCAGTTGCCTTTAGAGAGAAACATTTACCACTTCATGGCAAAGAAACACTATTATTTATATTCTGGGGTTGAATTCAAACCCAATATAGAATTTCCTGGCTAAAACACACACCAGAGAGTAGAAGCAATCTGGCTAAAGCAGAGAGGTGTGCATGGTTCAGACAGCTTTACAGGAAGCACCCCTGCTTGTCTCCTGGAAGACCAGCATTGTTTCACTCTGCAGAGCACAGGAGTGATCTGTTGTGGGAGCCAGGGAGGCTGCGACAGGGGATTGCAAAGGTTAACACTGTTTTATCTAGTAAGACAAGGTCTCCTTAATCAACTTGGGAAAGGGTGGGTTACACAGGTTTATTTTGTGAAAGACTTCTTAATAAGGTAATGGGCAGCCTAAAATATCAAACATATGTTGACTTTATGCCTTCCTAAAGTCATTTGGCCAAATCTTTCACATCTATAGTACCCCTGAAACGAAGTTTTTTGGCTTTTACTTAAAAGCTTTAGAGTTGGAGTGATTGTTCCTCATACTACATAAGTAAAAGACCTTCAAAAGCCTTAAAAGTAGGTTTTTGGTTTCCCCCAGGATTGAACCATAAACCACACTCAGGTAAAAGTCATGCATCCCTGTATAGGAAATGACTGAGGCTTGCTGGGAATTACTACCCATCACTCGGTCTAACCTTCTCATTCAGACCTGGTCCACACACTCAGGCCTGAACCCTCTGGTCAGAAAAATAGCTCCTCTTCACTGCTGGAAACACTCATGTAGCAATAATTGAAGTTGGCCCTTACCTGGGGGCTGTGCCTCTGGACACTGAACTGGGGGTTGCCTGCGAAATGGTCACAATGTCTTCATCCCCTCCGTCCTCATAAAAGCTCGCTAGTGCGATCTGAAACAGAGAGGTAGTACCTTGGGACCCTTAAACAGGCCTTCACCTAATATATATCTCCTCTGAGCACAAAGGAATACAGACATGACCAACACTTACAAGGTAGCTTTGTTAAGTGTTGGGCCAAAGAAAATTAGATTAGAAGGTTAACAGCTCAACTGTGAGTCTTCAAGTCACCTGAAACAAATTCCACCCACTAAGATGAAAAGAAGGAGAGAATGGCTGGGGTGGAAGACACTCCTCATTCTCAGTTTATGAAGAAATGTGATCTAGTAAAAGTAGCACACATTTAGTGAGCATTTATATACCAGGTTGTTCTGAGTATTCCATATACATTAGTTTGTTTAATCCTCACAGAACTCTATGGTATTAGTACCACTATCATTTCATTTTAAAGTTGATACAGAGCACCGAGAGGTTAAAAAAAAATTGTCCAAGTTTACACAGCTGGTAGAGTGGAGCCAGGTTTGATCCCAGACAGTGTACTCAGGCCCTCACTCTTAAGCGCTTCTATTATAGCTAGGAGTCAGGAACTGTAGAGTCAGTCCGGGTTGCTACTTTTCCTTTTTTTCAAGTTGTTTCCTAATTTGTGAAATGGGGGTACCTGTCTCACCAACCTGCACACTGGATGAGATAATCAAGATTTACACACACTCGGATCTTAGGTCTATACATACAGAAGGATTATGGGAGTCCTTTGGTCATTTGTGACATCTCACCAGCTCAAAGGACAGGCATATACTAAATACTTGCTTTGCACAAACACATAAGAAAGCACTGAGGTCACAGAGATGAAATAGACATGGCCCCTGCCCTCAGAGTAACCATCTTTACAGGAGGAAATGAGCTGTCATGGGATAAAACCAATCTGCTTGGAGGCAGCGTGCTGTCTCAGGACATGCACTGAACTGGCATTCTCACGGAGCCTACATTCAAGTCCTGTTCCTGCCAGGCAAGTCACATGCACGAGCCTCAGTTTCCCCACTACACTGTGAGGGGAATGGGACAGAAGACCTGTTGACCACAACACCGTGTGTTTTAGGTCTTTCAGGTAGAAACTTAAAAAAAAAAATTTTTGCCCAGCACAGGGGCTTCCCACTGTGTCTGTATAGGTGTGATGCTTTTTCTAACTCTTGCGTTTGGGAAGCAGTTTACCAAGCAGACTCAATTCAATCCCAACTCCATTACTTACTGGCTGTGTGACCTTGAGCAAATTCCTTGCGTTCTGAGCTTCCAATGCCTCACCCATAAAACGGGTCTATCCTTTACCTCATAGTGTTGCTATGATTAAACTAATCATATTATGTAAAGTGCTTGGCACATGGTGGTTTAGAGCTTGGGCTCTGTCTGCTTGGAATCAGAGAGAAATGAGTTCCAATTCTACCTCTTCTGCCTAGTAGCTAGTGAGGCCTTGAGCAAGTTACTCAACTTCTGTAACCTCAGCTGCAAAATGCGAAGGTTATGTGACAAAAGACATATAAAGCAGGTAAAAGAGCGCCTGGCTCGTGGCAGGTACTCAATAAATTTATCAGTCATCGTCATCATCTACCTAAGACGTAGGCTGGCCAAGAATATTTATGCAATTCTTTCTACAGTTAATTACCGAATGCTTATCATGTGCCAGGCATTGTTCTAGGCACTGGGAATTCACAGGTGTACAAAAATCTCTGCCTCGTGAAGCTTAATTCTCACCAAGTATTTAGTGAATACTTGGTACGTGCCAATGAACTACACAGCAATTTCCACGAGACTCCCATTTTACAGGTAAGTTACAAAAGGTGAAGACGCTCCAACCTTGCGCCAACACCCCAGAGGTATCCTCCAAGCAATTAGGAAGGCGGGCGTCGGTGAATTCCCGAGCTGGGCTTCGGAAATAGAAATGAGCGGCCGTCTAGTCCCGAGTGGGGCTTCACCCAAGTGCTGCTCACTCGGACCAGCCCGACCTCCAGCAGGCTCTCGGCGCGGCGGCCACGCCCCCGGGCGCCCAGTCTCCTCGCTGGCTGCTGCAGTGCCCGAAGTCTCGCTGACGCCGCAAGCGGGCGAGGCACAGTTAAACTGTGGCACGGCAGAGCTGGCCGGGGCTGGCCTGCGTTCCTTCACTCCCAAGCCGAGCCGGCGACGCGTGACAAGCGGTCCCGGGACCATGAGGCCTGGGTCGGGCCGCAATAGAGCGGGGATGACTGTGCGCTTCAGCCGCCGCGGGCTTAAGGCACCAGACGCCCGCTCCTAGCAGCCCCCTGCCCACCCGACGCAGCCCACCTCGCAGCGCTACCTGTAAGTCCCAGCCGGCCGACTCGAGGAAGAAGCGGGCTCGGTCCTCCTCGGCGCCAGTCACCGCCACGAACTCCCTCAGCGCCTCCTGTCGCTCCGCCGCCATCTTCGTCCCGTGCACCTCCCAAAGCGCTCCGGCCGCCGCCGCACAGCCCGAGCGCCAGCCCCGCTGCCGCGTTCCGCTTGTTGGTCGACCCGGCTCGGCAGATGGGAGCCGGCCCGCAGCCCCGCCCCACGCGGTGCCTCACGCAAAGCCCTCCGTGCGGGCAGCCCCGCCGCGCCGCGCCCTCTGGCGACCGCGGCGCTCACCGCAGCCTGGCAGCGGGGGTGGGAGCCCGATGGATGAGAGGTGGGGCGGGTCTTACACACACCTGTGGGCTGAAGGAGCCCTGCAGAAGTCAGATTCCCAATTATTCACTGACGCAGAAATGAAATTCATGTCATTAATTTATGCTTTTGTTCATTCACTTACTTGTCAAGCAATGTCCGAGGTTGTTCTAGGGCTGTGGTTATGGCAAGGAGCAAATCAGTCTCTGCTTTCTTGCTTCTTACATTCTGGGAGTAAAAATCCAGACCTTGGGCCCAGCGCAGTGGCTGACGACTGTAATCCCAGCACTTTGGGAGGCCGAGGCGGGCGGATCACAAGGTCAAGAGATCCAGACCATCCTGGCCAACATGGTGAAACCCCGTTTCTACTAAAAATACAAAAATTAGCTGGGCATGGTGGTGCGTGCCTGTAATTCCAGCTACTCGGGAGGTTGAGACAGGAGAATCGCTTAAATCTGGGAGGCGGAGGTTGCAGTGAGCCGAGATCGCGCCACTGCACTCCAGCCTGACGCCAGAGCGAGACTGTGTCTCAAAAAAACAAAACAAAACAAAACAAAACAAAACAAAACAGAAAAGAAAAAGAAAAAAATCCAGATTTTGAACAGACTAGGCCTCCGCTCACAACCCATCCATGCCTCATTATCTCACCCGGCATAAAAGACAGTCTCACGGACTGCCTGCAAGACCCATGAGAAATGGGCCAGTTCCTTCATCTCATCTAGAGATCCCCCGGCTTCTTCTGCTCCAGGCGCTTTGCCCTCCTTGCTGTTCCTGGAACGTGCCAGGGATGACGTATTTGCCTCAGGGCCATTGCATTAGTGCTTCTGTGCCCGGAGCCCCTTTCCCTTACCAGCGGGCAAGGTGCTCTCTCCCCTTTCCTTGGGTATCTGCTCCAAGGCCGCCTTCTCAGGCACAATCCTGTCTTCTGGGTCCTCAGCTTCTTTGCCTTCTTGCCTCAAGGAGCCCTTAAGAAAGTCCCCAGGCTTAGTCAAAACCCCTCTTAATCAGGTTATGGACAGCACAAAGTCTGGGCTTCCCTCAATTGACACAATCGTTTCTTTCCTGGAAAATTTGGTGTATTATTAACACTGTACAAGAAACCCTTTAAGTTTATATGACAAACAAGTTAGGGTTTGGGTTAGGTTACTGAGCGCGTGGTTGCAGCTGCAGTAGGCTCTGGCAGGAGGTGTGGGAGGAGGGTCCTTTCTTTGTGGTGTGAAACTCCCCTTTCTATTGCTAGGCCACCCAGCACCAGCCCCCGTCCCTAGGCCTTACCTCCTTTATCATTGTGTCAACCCAAAATGTACCCCAATTTTCCGGGAAGTTTAAGAAGCTAGAGGCTCACTCTGGACCTCAAGACTGGCAAGGTTTTTCTGCCCTGGAAACTGACAATGACTTACCCTAACAGAAAGATCGGCGGGTGATCAGCTCCTCAAGGTCCAGTTCCCCCGCTAGTATTGAAACTCACTGTCACCCCCCTCTTCATTTTTGTGCCCTCAGGGAAAGCTCTTTGTTGGGCTAGAGGATCCCTGACCCCCTCTTCTGGAGGCCTAGGGGGCATCCTTCCCCATAACGCTGCCTGGCAGCTAGTGTTTATTGAGCGCTTACTATGCCCCCAGACATTCTACAAAGAACCTTAAATCCACTAACTCATGCATCCTGTGAAGTGAGTTCTAGTGTTGCCACTTCGGTTTTTCAAATGGGGAAACCTAGACTTCTAAAGAGTTTTGAATCCAGATATCGTGCAGCTCCTGAGTCTGTGCTCCTAACCACTATACCACACTGTCTCTCTGTAGCCTGCAGGACTGTGCTGGTCACTTACCATGTGGTTTCTGGAGGCAGCTCCAGATGACCCGAATGGAGTTTAGGGCAGGGGATGTGAGGGCATGAACTTGAAAGTATATTTACATACCAGATCTAAGTATCCTTAACAAAACTGGATAAGGAGGCACTGAAGGCCCGGTACCTCCTATGATGAACCACACCACCCTCCAACCTCCAGCCCATCCGGCCCCAGCCCATCCCCAAATTCTACCACCACTCCCACCTCCAGCCTCCCCTCAACCTCACAGACCTGCCACCAGCACCTGATCCACCTAGCCCCACTTTCCCTTCTAACTCTGCCCTCAGTACTAAATGCACCCCCACCCTCCAAAGCCCACCTTCACTCCATTTCAGCCCAACCCCCTCCAGGCTCATCTCCATCTTTCTTCCCACTCAAGCCTCACCCAGCCCCTCCTTTAATCCCATCTTCCACCACCTCCAGCCTCACCCCAGCCTTCCTTCGGCACCCCCTCTGCTGTGTCCTCACTGGTGGTGACTTCACTTTGGGCAGGAGCTGTGTGTACCCAGGACTGATGTCTCCTCTGACCCCCACTCCAGTCCCCTAAGGACTAGACCCTCTATAGCTTTATTGGCCCAGGGGAGCTGCTAGGTGGAGCAAATGATTGATTCCTTAACTGACATTCAGACCTTCCAGTGGCCCCTATATATGGAAGCTGCTGATACCACTTATTATTCTTTACTACCACCACCTCAGTGAAGTTGGGACTATTTGTCTCTCTTTTCACAACATCTTCAACTAATGACAGTAATAACGAAATAACAGTACTGCCAGCCTGTGTGTGGAAAGATGCTTGGCTGCATTAGGCAGCAGTGAGACCCAATTAAAACTGCAATGACATGCCCTTTTGCCCTATCCAACTGGTGAGAAATTGACAAGTCTGTGAGAGTAGGCAGGTAGCCAGAAAGAAGCAGACAAGGGAGCCTTTGGGAAAAGAAGTCCTGGAAACTCTGTTCATTGATAGTCAGCATCATCCACTGACAGTCAGCAAAGGGCCAGTGGCTACACTGGCTACTTCTGGCCTTGTGGTTGGGCTCCTCTGACTCTAAAGGGGACTTGTGAGGCCCTATTCGGAGATAACCATGGTCGGGACTGTCCCACTGATGAGCATGCACACTCCTACAGTAACACGCCCTAAAGTAGCCTTCTGCTCATTATAATAAAAACAAAACACACCCCCGGGTGGAGGTTTTAAATGCTCATGAGACATGCAATGTGTGTGCTAGCATGTACAACTACAGAACATTCATGGCCAAGGGGACCACCTAAAACATGATTGTAAGTGGCACCCCTCATGCCCCTTCATGAATAATCATGTAAGATTCTCATAAAGAGGGTCCCCTGGCACTAGCTGCTGCTGGCTTGTTCTTTCAGAGTGTACTGTCTCTTTAAATAAACACTGCCACTGCTATTTTTCACCTGATGCTGTTCTCCAGCCAGGTCAGCCCACTCCTCTCTAGGAATGTACTTTATCTTTCTTCAGTAAAATCTGCTACTGAACCTTTGCTGTGCGTCTCTTGGCTAAGATCTTTCTTTCAAGCAGACAAGAACTGAGGATTCCTGTACTTCCCTGTAGCATGACCATAGGAAACATTGGCATAAGCATGAAACAACAGGAATTTTCCTGTGTCTGGCAGCAGTATATGTTGGTTTAATGGCACTGGGGCACGATTTGGCAAATCTAGTGGAGTTGAAGGAGCACAGAACCTGTAGAACCCTCCAGTTCTACTTCTGGGTGTGTGCACTGTGCATGTATCAAGAGACACAATGAAACTGTCTCTGTTTAGGATAGTGAGAAACTGGAACAACTAAGGTCTCCATCCATCCACAGAAATCACAGATGTAATATATCGAAAATGGAATACCATACAGCTCTGAAGATGAATGAATTAGAATTACAGGTAACCAACCTGGATATACCTCAAATGTTGAGCCAAAAAGCAAGGTTGTGAATGATCTGTGCAGCAAAGTGCCATTATACAGTACCATCTAGATAGAGTTTAGAAACGTGTTTGGCTAGGCTTGGCATCCCCCACTTCCCTAGCCCGATGACAGGTAGCTGCACTCTGGGCAGTGTGTCTTGTGGGAAGGAAGGATTATTCTTGACCAGGCTGGCGCCTCCTCTCACCCGACACCAATACCACCACCCCAACGCTGCAGCAAGGCTGCCATCCGTGGGTTGCCAGGGTACAAGAAGCCCCTGCCAAATGGCGTTTGCTCCTCTTCTTCCAGCTCTAGGTCTCACCTGCGGGGGGAAATGGAGGCTCCTCAAGGCCTGAGGAGAGTGATGTGAATGGACCCATCTCTCACGAGGAGCTGTCGCAGAGGCTGGGCCTTTGGCAGCCTTGATGGGGCATAAGAAGCATGGAACAAGAACCATGGGAAGGGAAGGAAAGAGCTAAAGAAGAGTTGCAGGAAGGAGAAAACAGAAGGGGAGGGAGAGAAACGGATGCCCTGATTCAGGGAGCTTGGAGCATAGCCACTGACAGCCAGGGATCAGATGGGGAGGCCCAGGCAGGACATGTAAAATAGCGGCCTGTTGGGCCTTAGTGGGGGCTGTGGCCTCCCTGTGGCATGCCACCTGTTCTGTCTTTGGTGGGTCATCTCACCTGTGCCATGCCTGGGACCCCAAAACAGTAGAAGGGCTGGACTGAGGAGTTCTGTATCCCACCCATTCCCTACCCTTCCTATCTGTGGTCAGCAAGTTTCACAGTCTCCACCAAGGGCCTTAAATTATTCATCTTTTGTTTTATTTGTCTTCTTTAGTGGACTTCCCTCACCTTACTGCCTTGCCAGGTCCCTGTGAGTCTCTGAACCCAAGCAGGGCCAACTTTCTGTAGGATTTTCCAACTGAGCTGAGGTGAGTAGGGCCGTCTGGTGTCTGAAGTTGCACAATAAGGGGCCCAGGCGCTGTGGGCTTCCATGCTCCTCCTCATGGGGAGGATGGTGACTACAGTTTAGAGTCAGAATTGCATGGCAACCACAGATAATGGAACCCTAATCATGACTTAGTACTTCTCATGTCCCAGGTGCAGTTAATGCTGCACATACACCAACGCATTTTAGCCCCAGAACTACCTAATAAGACAGGCACGCATGTTACTATCAGTTTACAGACAAGGAAACTGAAAGAAACAAACTCACCCAAGAGATAAGTAGAACTGGAATTTGAACCTGCACAGCCAGACTTCCGAGACTGTGAAATTCACCTCTGGCATGTACGTAGTTCAGATGTTTACAGGGGTCTAACACAGGCCAAGCATTCTGCTCGGTGTTTGCTGTTCTTGTGCCAAGTCAAGCACGCTCCTGCCTCAGGACCTTTGCATTTGCTATTCCTTGTACTTTTCAGCTCTTCCCCAGGGTATCTGCAGGGCTTTCTTCCTCAGTTCCTTCAGGTGTCGGCTCAAATATCACTTTATCAGGAGGCCTCTTCTGTCCACCCTGCATTAAAATAATGTCACCTCCTCTTTGCTCTGGCTACTTCCTTCCCCCTCCTCCTGCATTGTAAATGCCCTCAGCACTCAGTATGGTGGGGCCTGTTATTCATCTGGGGTTACTTGCTCAGTGTCTGTCTTCTCTCAGGAGGAGGTAAGCTCTGAGACAGCAGACTTCTGTTTTATTCTCAGCACACTGATTAGGGCCTGGCACAGAGTCAGCCTTCAACTACGCTTCAGGATTGAATGAGAATGGTTGCAATAGTGGAATGTTAGGTTCATGGCCCCACGGAGCTCAAATTCTAGTGGGAACAACTCACAACCATCAAGGAAGCAGACACGCAAACATACACACACAGACATGCATACATGCACACACAGGCACACACATCCACATACACAGACACACACGCACTCACACATGCGCATGCGCTCACACACACACCCACACACACAAGTTTTCAGGTAGCAATAAGTATATGAAGAAAACTTAAGCAGCATGGGGGAAATGAGAATGACGGAGGCACCTTTATGGATAGAGTGGTCCGGAGAGGCCTCTTGAAGGTAAGACTTAAGCAGAGACTTGAATAAATTAGGAAGCTTCATGTGGTCAAAGCCCAGTGGAGTGTTGGAGCAGAGTCAGCTTATGGGATCGGGGAGATGTGGTCAGAGGGGTCGGCAGGGACAAGCTCATGCAGGGCCTATAGGGTGAGGGGGTTTGCAGGGGCAGATGGCACCCGCCTCCTGTTATTGGAGGACAAGCTCCATGCTTCCCTGCTGTTTCAGCTTCCCATGGCTGCTGTGACAGTTCACTGCAAACCTGGTTATTTAAAAGAACAGAAATTTATTTTCTCATAGTTCTGAAGTCCCAAAGTCTGAAATGAAGGTATTGTATCAGCAAGGCCATGCTTGCTCCAGAGGCTCCAGGGGGAGAATTCGCCCCTCGCTTCTTCCAGCTTCTGGTGGCTGCTGGCATTCTTGAACCTGTGGTCACACCGCTCCAAATTCTGCCTCTGTGCTCACATTGCTTTCTCTTCTACATCGAAGCTCCTTGTGTGACTTTCTTGTAAGGATACTTACCATCTTTTTTAGAATCTCTTTTAGGGCGCACTTAGATAATCCAGGATAAACCCCAGGCCCATCTCAAGATTTTTAATTTAATCGTTTCTGCATAGTCTTTTTTGTTTGTTTGTTTGTTTGTTTGTTGTTTTTGCCATACAAGGTAACACAGTCCCAGGCTCCAGAGATTAGGACATGAATATCTTTGGGATGGGGGTTACTATTCAGCCTCATTTACCTACCCTCTCTAATGTCTGGGAATTCTGTGATTTATTTCATTCTGAGACTGTCCTCTCTGGCTGTGCTCAAGCTGTTTTTCTGTTTGTTATAATGAAAAACATCTAGACTCATCCACTTCCCCCTATAGTGAGTGCTAATAAATGTCTGCCTGGAAAGAGAACAGGGAATTTACACGTATTGAGTGCATGCAGTGCACACAGCACACAGGAGGCCCTCAGTCAATGCAGAAATTAAATTGGTTCTTTGTTTTTGTTTTTCTCGAGATGGAGTTTCACTCTTGTTGCGCAGGCTGGGGTGCAGTGGTGCAATCTCAGCTCACTGCAACCTCCACCTCACCAGTTCAAGTGATTCTCCTGCCTCATCCTCCCAAGTAGCTGGGATTACAGGCATGCACCACTATGCCTGGCTAATTTTTTTGTATTTTTAGTAGAGATGGGGTTTCTCCATGTTGGCTAGGCTGGTCTCGAACTCCTGACCTTAGATGATCCATTGCCTCGGCCTCCCAAAGTGCTGGGATTACAGGCATGAGCCACCACGCCTGGCCTTGAATTGGTTCTTACAAAATGCAGAGAAGTCCATATTAGTATCCTGGATGTTCTGTGATGTGAAGGGCCTCTGATTAGTCACTGAGGGTGCACAGTGCAGGGCAGTTCAAGGCAGGTGTGTCTGACTCTTTGGCACGCACACTTTTCCCTATGTCAGGGCTTCTCAGTCCACTAGATGGTGGTAGCACCTCCAAGTTGTGCCAACCAAAAACATCTCCAGACATTGCCAAAAGTCCCATGGGGGCAAAATCACTCTTCCTGGGAACTATGCCCCACATCATGCTGCCCCAGGGGCGGTGATGGTGGGAAGAAGTGCTGGCCAGCTAGCTGGGCATTAAACTTAGGTTTAAACCCAGGGCAGGTGAGAGACTGCCTGTCTGCCACTGTGATGGAGATAACTGGTTATCCCCTGATGTCTACCATCTGGTTCTCTGGTGAAAACTTGCAGCTGGGCACATTGCTGCCAGAAGTAAAGACTACATTTCCCAGACTTTCTTGCAGCTAGATATGACCATGTGACCACATTCCAGCCAAGTAGAGGTAAGTGAAGTGACCAAGTTCCTGACTGTGCCCTTGAAGGGGAGGGTCCTGCTCCTCTTCCCTGTCTTCTTCCTCAGTCTAACTGGCTAGAAGGTGGATCTGGTAGCAATGGGAGCAGTGAATCCCAGATCTCAATACCAGGGAGTCTCTGTATTGCATGGCCTGCTGATGGTCAACATTCTGGTTGATTTCTACTGGGTTAAGCCATTGTTATTTAAGAGTTTTGTTATAGTTGCTGAACCTGCATCCTAATATTACACCCACCCAAGCCAGCCATGAGGGGGATGGAAGGAAGGCAGGAAGGGTGGGGAAAAGGGTGTAGATAGAGGGGCAGAGATGATCTGGCTGGTTGAACTCAGAGATGCTTAGGGACACCTCCTGGGAAGAAGACTCTGAGTTGGATGTTGGAGGCCAAGAAAGATGTGGGGAGGTGGGGAAAGGGGTAGGGTACACCAGAAAGGGCTGCAGCAGGGGCAAGGGTATTGAGGAGAGACTTAGCCAGGTCCTGAAAAGCAAGGAGGTCTTGAACAGGCCGAAAAGAGAAAGGGAGACACTTCAGAGGGAAGCCCGGTGCAAAGAGGGGAATTTCACTAGGTGAACCAAAAGCAGATGTACAGATCTAGTAGTCTGTCATGAGCCCTGGGGGCATCTGGCGGCTGGGACTGGAGGCAGGGAAGTGGTCGAGGAGCCCTGGCTCCTCTCCGACTCAGAGGATCCCCACTCTGGGGCTGACCCCTCAGTTTTGAACCTTGCTCCATGATAAGGTGTTCATGGCTCTGCTGGGCCTGTGGTCTTGAAATCTTCTTGCCCAGAGCTCCTCCAACAGGTAGCCAGGGCCAGCAGGACTGCAGCCAAGATCATTGCCTTCAGCCCCAGGACAGTAGGTATGAACACAACCAGGAGGCCTGGGAGGCACAGGAGAGAGCTCAGGCAGGACCCGTGGTGAGGGCCCCACAGCCCATACCTCAGTGTTGCCCATGGGCAAGGTCACATCCTGCTGCTGTATAACCTCTGGAGCTGTATCCTTTCTACAGTGACAGAGGTGATCAAAGACCACCCTTTCCTCTGCCCTGGGCCCAGAGAAGGGTCACCCAATATTCTATCTGCACCTGTCATCATCTCAGTCGCCTCCCTAACCTCCGCTCTTCCTAATTGCCTAAAGCAATCCTCAAGGTAATTTTACAGCATAAGATCGTGATCCAATTTTTATAGATAAGGAGACTGACCCAGAGTACAGAAGTGATATTCTCAGGGCCACATGTATTAAAGAAGTCATGGGACCCAGGCACTCTGGTCCCCTTGAATGGCAGGAGCAGGGCTGAGCATCAGGTAGGCAAATCTGACCACCTCTATCACAAGCTCCCAGCAGACACTGAGAGTCCCTGAATGTTAACAGGAGATGTGCCAGGCATCATTCTGGATACTTGGCACTTGTGATCTCATTAAATCCACACACAATTCCATGAAGTAGCTCTCTGATGCTTGTCCCCTGCCATCTAGTTCACACAGTCAGATACCAGATTCCAGGGGTGAGAACCTGCCCATCACACTAGAAAGAGGCTCCATCCAGGAGACTTATCTACAAAGCCATGTTCTCCAGTGCTGTGCATAGCCTCACAGTGTGTCCCTAAACTAAGAATCCCAGGGAGCTCACCACCTCTCAACCAAAGCTCCCCACTAAACATAGCCCTGGCAATGAGAGTTTGTTGCAAATGAGCTGTTGTAACATGGTTCTCTGGCATCCCAGAGCTGCAATTGAGATGAGATCCTGGGAGCTTTCTTGGTGGCAGATGAGCCCCAGGAGTGTGGGACTGCTCCCTTCCCATGACCAAGCCATTCATGGCCCCCTTGCCTAAGGTAGACTCATTGACTCCACTGAGGTAGGTACACTCACCTGTTGGAGACATCTCAGTTGCACGTTCCCTGGTGAATTCTGCCTCTTGGAAAGAGGTAGACTTTGCTGCAAGGGAGAGAGGCTTTCTCATACTTCCCTTTATCTTTATCTCCCACCACTTCCTGAGTCCCAGGAGCTGGGTGTGTCTGGGATGAGTCTGCCAGTTTCTCCTGGGTCGGGGCTAGAAGTCAAACCCTGCAGCTGTGAAGGACAAAATTAGACTTTCTGCTAGAGCACCTTTGGGATATGGACATGTCTAATTCATTGCAGTATCTCTAGTACTTAGTATAGTGCAGGACACTCAACAGGCATGTAGTAGATGTTGGTTGAATTGTTATTATTGTTATTATTATTTTTTGAGACGGAGTCTCACTCTTGTTGCCCAGGCTGGAGTGCAATGGTGTGATTTTAGCTCACTGCAACCTCTGCCTCCTAGGTTCAAGCGATTGTCCTGCCTCAGCTTCCCAAATTTCTGGGATTACAGGCATGTGCCACCATGCCTGGCTAATTTTGTATTTATAGTAGAGACGGGGTTTCACCATGTTGGTCAGGCTGGTCTTGAACTCCTGACTCAGGTGATCCACCCACCTTGGCCTCCCAAAATGCTGGGATTACAGGAGTGAGCCATGGTGCCTGGCCGATGTTTGTTGATTTATTAATGATCCATATAGAATTCTGTAGAAACCAAAATGGGGAGAAATTAACTCTGCTCAAGAGGAGAAGAAGGTTTTACAGAGGAGGGGCCATTTGTTCTGGGCATTGAAGGATTAGTAGGAGTTTTCAGAGAAAAGAAGAAAGCATTCCACATAGAGGGAACAACTTATGTAAAGACACGGAGGCTGGGAAGAGCTGGCTTTTTTGGGGCATGTAGAAAAATTGCTCATGAAACCTGCTCCTCTCCCCCGACAACTCCAAAACCAATTGTCTCACCTTTCAGTTTTAGCCTGGTGCCCTGTCCAGACAGGTATTGCCTGTTGGGTTTCCTCTGAAACTTTGCACAGTAATAGGTGCCTGCATCCTCATTGGAGACGCCTTGCAGAAGAATGCTGAAGTCATTGTTGGAGGACCGCACCGCTGTCGCCTTGGGGTGGGAGATGCCTCCAAAGTTGTAAATGGCCTCCCGGCTCAGACCAGCTCCCCGGAACCACCTGATGGGTCCGGGGGGACCATCTCCAAGCACTGTGCAGTTCAGAAAGACATTGTCTCCAGTGGATGCCAACACCAGTTCCTGGGGCTGGATGATCCACAGGTCTGGTTCAGGGTCCCCAGCTCCTGAAGTCAAAGAAGAGGTCCTTGTTGGAGTCCCTCTCCTCTTTCATCATTTCCTCCCTGGTGCTTTCCCTCCCTTCCTTATTTCCAGATTTCTGCTCTCAGCCACTCCCTTCTGCTTTCTTTATTACTCATTAGTTGACTCATTCAGTAAAGAGGCTCTGAGTACCTCCTACATACCAATGGTAGAATTGGGGAATGTGAAACTCAGGAAGACACATAAGTGCCCTGCCCTGAAGCCATTGTCTGTCTGCTAGTGGAGATGGTCAAAAAATTGCCCAGAGACTGGAAATCCAGAAGATGGCAGAACTACGAAGGAGGCACCATCATAGCTTGGAAGAAGCCAGGGAAGCCTTCCTGAATCTGGCATTAAGTGAAAATGAACTCCCGTGCACAGATACTCTCCATGTTACCAGTTTACAGGGTGATTCCACAGGCATCTGTTCTATTTAATCACCCCATTGACTCTTGAAGTGCAAATTGTGTTGCCTGTTTTCCAAGCAAAGCACTTGAGGCATGTAGAGTCAGGGTAACTGACTTAAGAATGCACTGCTAGTCTATGAGAGTCCTGGGATTTGAGTATTCGGGTCACCATAGGTGGACTTAGAGATACCATGATTGATTACCTGGGGAGCGTGGTAGTTGACATGCTCAGCCTCACGTTTTGACTCTGTGCTAGTCATAGGGAACATCCACACCCTTACCTTGGCTGCATGGTGGAAGGCTATTTTTCCTTGTCCCTTGTCTTGGAGCTGAGCCATGTGACTTGCTTTAGCCAATGGGCTGTTAGCAGATATAATGTGACTAGATGCTTGAGGCGTACTTGAAGAATTGGGACTGGGCTTCTGCTTCTGCCATTTCCATGAGAAAATCATGCCCCACGTAGCTGCTACGTCTCCAGCCTGGACTCTGGCATGAGACATGAGAAGTGGAACCACCAAGCCACATGGAAATGTCCATGTGAGATACAAATGTGTATTGTTGTATGCCACTGAAATTTTGTGTGACACAGCATGATACAGTGGATAAAGGTGACTGTGCAGGGAAACAGACCAGAGCAAACGTGTGGCCTGCAGGGCCTGATACTCACCCTTCACAAGCACTGAGGTGCCCTCCTCCGATTTCATTTCTGAGTGTTCACTCAAACGATTAAACCTCACACAGTGGTAGGTTCCAGTGTGCTCCCTGGTGACATTGTGGATATAGATGGAATAATCGCAATTCAGTGGTTCTGATGTCCATTGGATCATCGGCATCACCCCAGGGAAGGAGCCACGTTTAAAGTTATAAATTTCTTGTTGGTTCTGAGTGCTCACTTTGACCCATTTTATCATACCATCGGTGCAGGAGCCAACCACCATACACCTCAGTAGGAGTGTCTTGCCTTCTGCCACCAGCATGGGGCCCTCAGGCTGTAGCACCTGCCACTCATTCCGGCTGCTCTGCTCAGAGGCTTCTACAAAAGAGGAAGAAAGACCTTGCACTGGGCAGGAAGGACTTGGAGCCCTAAAAGTCAGGCTTAAAACAATCAAACCATTATCTGGCCAAGAACAATGGCCCAGGACAAGACAGGAGTGTCATTAGAGAGGGAAGGGAAAGAGGGGATGAGGTGGTTGCCTGCAGAGAGAGAACTGAGCTATGCAATGGAAAACCTGTAAATAAATAACACTCAAGTTACTCACCATGTGCTGGGCCCTGCATGCATTATGTCACTTATTCTTCATGATGCTCCTCTAAGGTAAACTGCATTATTCTCATTTTTCCACAGAGGAAACAGAGGGCCCAGAAAGGTTAGGCAGCAGACCCAGGATCATGTGCTAGGATTGTGTCTCCCAAATGCACATGTTGATATCCTAACCTCCAGCACCTCAGAATGTGACTGTATTTGGAGGTAAGGTCTTTAAGGAGGTAATTCAGTTAAAAGAGGACATTGTGGGGCAGGGGGTGGGGGGCTTAATCTAATCCAACTGATGTCCTTATAAGGAGAGGGAATTGAGACACACACATACAAGGGGAAGACCATGTGACGATACAGGGAGAAGGCAGCTGTTTATAGGCTGAGGGGAGAGGCCTCAGACAAACCAGCCCTGCAGACACCTTGATCGCGGGTTTCCAGCCTCCAGAATTGTGAGAAATTACATTGAGATGTTCAAGCCACCCAGGCTCAGTACTTTGCTATGGAAGCTCTGACAGATTCTTACATTCACCCAGTAGGGGGGTGACAGGCTTAATTCAAGCCCTCTCAGCCTGTTTCTGGAGCTCTGGCTGTTAATCCGCAAATGCCACCCTTCGGAGATGTAGGTTTGTGTGTTGTAGCATTCAGTATAAATACCCTTCCTGCCTCCTGTGAATTATTCAGCAGACTGCAGTTCTTGTTAATGTGTTGTGAAGATAGATTGAACTGTTGATTTTGTCCTCAAAGTGGATACAGAGAAAGAGGGCTGAGGCTGCCCATAGAAGTTCTGGGTTACAGACATCATCACATGTACTCCTTCTAAGAATTCTGTGAGCTAGATGCTATTATAATCTCAATTTTTAAAAACTTTTCAGTTTATTACTTATTTGTATTTTTTTTTTTTTGTAGTTATGGGGTCTCACTGTGCTGGCTGGTCTCAAACTCGTGTACTTAAGTGATTCCTTCACTTTGGCTTCCCAAAGTGCTGGGATTACAGGTGTGAGCCACTGTGCCCAGCCTATCATCTCCATTTTTGAGATGAGAAAGAAAACAAATGCTCATAGTTGTAAAGAAACATGAAGTAAACCGTGCATTCAGTAGATATCATGGCCAGGATTTGAACTCAGATCAGGTGACTTAAGATTCTGCTCAACTCAAGGTCACCAGATTTGTGCCCTGAGTTTCCTTTTCATCTGTGTTCCATCAGCTTTGTGAATAGCTCAGTCTCACTCCACAAGTTCGTCTGCAGGATATTACGGTGTTTCTCAGTTGTGAATGAGGGAAGGAGAGTAAGAAGATGAAGCAAACACTCCCTTCTAAGAAGACCTAGGAAAAAGTTATGGAATTCTAAATTCTGTTTCTACCTGTCTTCAGCTGGGCATGTGCTATTAACTACCAAGAAAGCTTTCCCACAATTGTGAGCAAGTGATAGCCACTGGTTGAATCCTAGGAACTGCTCTTGTCCTTGATGTCCTCAGTTCCGAGACAGTCAGCAACATCCACTCTCAAACATTATTTGAGCCAGTCAGATCTGTTATCACTAATCCTTCCTGTTGGTTCTTTCCCTTGCGTCAGGAAGTTTCCTCACACACATGCACAGGACTGTGCCCATCACTCACTACAGAGCTAAGAATGATGCCTGTTCCTACCAGCCACACTGGTAAACTTCATGATTGTCTGGGCACTGGGGAGAATCTGTAGAAGAGAGTACACAGCCCAGAAAGAAGTGTCCTGGTCCACCCAACAAATCTTAAAAGGCTCCAAACTGATTTTTAAAAAAATAACGTTCTACTGTGAGGCTTCTAACACATGTATAAGTAGAAGTCATGACATCAATAGAATAAAGACTGGGAGTGGAGAAATGTGAGATTACTATTGTAAGTTTTTTTCCCTTCCTTCCTTCCTTCCTTCCTTCCTTCCTTTTCTTTCTTTCTTTCCATCACCTGAGTATTTATTATTTCTATGTGTTGGGTACATTTCAAGTCCTCTTTTCTAGCTATTTTGAAAAATATACCACATTGTTGTGAATTATAGTCACCCTACTCTGCTATCAAACATTAGAATTTCCTTTTATCTAACTGTGTGTTTGTACCCATTCACCAACCTCACTCTTAATTCCTTTCCCTCAGACCCATCACCTTTCCTCGTCTTTGGTATCTATCATTCTATCATTACACTCTCTACTTCCATGAGATCATTTTTAGCACCCTCATATTTGTCTTTCTGTGTCTGGCCTTTTCTCTTTCTTTCCTTCCTTTTCTTTTTTCTTTTCTTTTCTTTTCTTTTTTCTTTCTTTCTTTCTCTTTCTCTTTCTTTCTTTCTTTCTTTCTTTCTTTCTTTCTTTCTTTCTTTCTCTTTTCTCTCTTTCTTTCTTTTTTTTTTGGAGTGTGATGGTGTGATCTTGGCTTACTGTAAACTCCACCTCCCAGGCTCAAGCGATTTTCCTGCCTCAGCCTCCCAAGCAGGGCTTATTTCACTTAATAAAATAATCTCCAGCTCCATCCATGTGCTCTGAATGATGACATGATTTCATTATTTTTTTATGGTGGAATAGTATTCCATTGTGGGTATGCTTGGGAATACCCAAAATATATGTATTTTCTGTATCCATTCATCCATTGATTGACATTTAGATTGATTCCATACATTTGCAATTGTGAATAGTGCTGTAATAAACATAGAAATCCATGCACTCTTTTGATATATCGATTTCTTTTCCTGTGGATAAATACCCCATTCTAGGATTGCTGGATGATATGAGTGCTATTTTTAGATTTTTGAGAAATCTCCATGCTGTTTTCCATAGTGACTGTACTAATTTACATTCCCATCAATAGTGTTCCCTTTCCTCATCTTCATCTTTTTTTTTTTTTTTTTTTTTTTTGGAGACAGAGTCCTGCTCTGTGACCCAGGATGGAATGCAGTGGTGCCATGTCAGCTCACTGCAACCTCTGCCTCCTGGGTTCAAGTGATTCTCCTGCCTCAGCCTCCTGAGTAGCTGGGATTACAGATGTGTGCCACTATGCTGGGCTAATTTTTGTATTTTTAGTAGAGATGGGGTTTCATCGTGTTGGCCAGGCAGGCTGGTCTTAAATGACTGACCTCAGGTGATCTGCCGCCTTGGCCTCCCAAAGTGCTGGGATCAAGCTCAAAATGAAACTTAATACAGTAGAAACACACACACACACACACACACACACACACACACACAGAGAGAGAGAGAGAGAGAGAGAGAGAGAAAATCAATAAGAAGAAAATCTTTGAGAAGATTACTAAAATAGATAAATCTCTAGTGAGACTGAACAGAGGAGACACACACAGAGAGAACCTAAATTGTGAAAATCAGGAAAAAGATTGGTGATATTACTGCGGATTTTACTCATATTAATAGAATAATAAGGAAATATTATGGAAAACTTCAAGTTATGTATATTTGACAATTTAGGTAACATGAACAGATTCCTTGAAAAAGAGCCACTGCCAAAGCTATCTCAAGAAGAAAAAGATAACCTGGATAGCCCTATTAGCTATCAAAAAGTTTAATCTTTTATTAAAAATCTTCCCAAATCCTAGTTTCATTCATAAATTTTCATATCAAGGCCTCACTCTGTCGCCCAGGCTGGGGTGCAGTGGCACTGTCTCGGCTCACTCCAACCTCTGCCTCCCAGGTTCAAGCAGTTCTCCTGCTTCAGCCTCCTGTGTAGCTGAGATTACAGGCATGTGCCACCATGCCTGGTTGATTTTTACATTTTTGGTAGAGGCGGGGTTTCACCATGTTGGCCAGGCTGGTCTTGAACTCCTGGCCTCAAGTGATCTACCTGCCTCAGCTTTCCAAAGTGCAGGGATTACAGGCATGAGCCACCATGCCCGGCCGAATTTTTCATATTTTTAAGAAATAAATAATACCAATTTTATATAAATACTTTTAGAAAATTGAAAAAAGGTCATGCTTTTCTAATTATTCTACAAGTCCCAGTGTTATCTTGAAACCAAACCCTAAGTCCTTACAAGAAAAAAAAAAATCCATGGCCGGGCGTGGTGGCTCAAGCCTGTAATCCCAGCACTTTGGGAGGCCGAGGCGGGTGGATCACGAGGTCAAGAGATCGAGACCATCCTGGTCAACATGGTGAAACCCTGTCTCTACTAAAAATACAAAAAATTAGCTGGGCATAGTGGTGCGTGCCTGTAATCCCAGCTACTCAGGAGGCTGAGGCAGGAGAATTGCCTGAACCCAGGAGGCAGAGGTTGCAGCGAGCCGAGATCGTACCATTGCACTCCAACCTGGGTAACAAGAGAGAAACTCTATCTAAAAAAAAAAAAAAAAAAATCCCTCATGAACATAAAAAAATTTTAAACAAAATTTTAGTAAACCAAATTCAGCAATCAGCAATATGTAGAAAGTATAATACATTATGATCAAGTTGAGTTTATCCCTGGAATGTAAAGTTGGTTTAATATTCAAAAATCAATCAATGTAATTTACCGTATTACTAAACTAACACACACATGCATATACACGCACTCATATAATCATCTCAACAGATGCAGAAAGAGCACTTTTCAAAGTTGAACATGCATTCCTAATAATAACTCTCAGCAAACTTGGAATAGAAGGAAGCTTTTCAAGTTGATAAGGGGCATCTGTGAAAACCCCACAACAAATATTATGCTTAGTAGTGCAAAAATGAATGTTTTCCCTGCAGATCAGGAACTAGACAAGGATGCCTGTTTTTACTATTTCTATCCAATATTGTAGGAGAGGTACTAACCATGCAAAAAGGTAATAGGAAAGAGAAGACAACCAGATTTGAAAGAAAAAAGGAAACTATCTTTATGTGCAGATGACGTAATTAAATTTGCAATGAAAATTTCTTAAAAAGGCTGCTATACCTAACAAATGAGTTTAGCAACAATGACGATAAAAGATCTATATACAAAATTATCTGCATTACTATATACTAGCAATAAAGAATTTGATATTTGAATTTAAAAATTCCAGTCATTAATATTATAAAAAAATAGAAAATATTTAGCCAAAAAATGTGAAGGAATTGCAAACTGAAAACTTACAAGACATTGCTAAGAGAAAAAAAAATCAAGCCTAAATAAATAGAGAGATACACACTGTTCATATGTTGGAAGATTCAATATTGCTAAGATGTCAATTATTCTCAAGTTGATACACAAATTCGCTGCTATTCCTATTCAAATCCCAGGAGGCTTCACTTTAGAAATTGATAAACTAAATCTAAAATTTCTAGAGTAGCTAAAACAATTTGAAAAAGAATAAAATTAGGAAACTAATACCACCTGATTTTAAGACTTAGATAATGCTACAGTAATCAAGACAATGTATCACACAAAGATAGATAAAATGTATTTCCCTAAGAGGAATGAAAGGCTATATCGACAGAGACTTGTAGGCGAATATTCATAGACACTTTATTTGCAATAGCTCTAAACTGCAAACAACCCAAATGTCTGTCAACAGGTGAATGGGAAAGGGTTTATCCTTCCAGTGGATAGACATGAGAAGAAATGAACTACTGACAATGCAACAACATCAATGAATCTCAAAATAATTATGCTGAGTAAAAGAAGCCAGCCAAAAAGGAGTACAACTGCATGATCCTTGTTGTATAAAATTCTAGAAAATGCAAACTATAGTGACAGAACACAGATCCATGGTTGCTTTGGAGACAAAAAGGGAGTGACAAGCACGAGTCACAAGGAAACTTTCGGATGCTGGATACATCCAAAATGCTGATTTTGCTGATGATTTCACAAGTGTGAAATATACCCAGTGCTCACATACAAAATTTATCAAATTGAGTACTTTACATATGTGTGGTTTAATGTATGTCAGTTACACTTATCCCAGCTGGGGGTGAGTCTGGAGAAGTGAACACCAGGGCTGGAACCTGGACTCAGTCCTGGTGCCCACACCCCTCCCCTCTCCTCCCTCTGTCCTTCTGAGTCTCCTTCTGTGTTGTCACATGGGCTTTAGGAGGTGTCCTAGGAGGTTTGCCTCTGCCTTGTTGGTGGAGCTGGACCAGCCCTGGGCTTCCTTCTCATCTATTTGCCGTCTGCATTCTCTGCCTTTCATGGTTCCTGTACAGGGGCTTCCTTTAAAAGCCTTATAGAACGTCTGTTAGCCCCTGTCTCCTCTACTACAAGACAGGGCACTCATAAGACCTTTCTCTAGGGCTGCTGTATTAAATTATAAAGTAGTGAGGCTCAACCCTGGGCCAGCTACATAATTTGTGGGGCCAAGTGCAAAATGGAAATGCAGGTCCCTTTCTGAGCAACACAGAAGAGCGTTAAACCAAGCATGGGGCCCTTCAAAGCAGGGGGCCCTGTGCCCTGACTCGGCTTGAGGTGCAGCTGGACTGAAACCTTCCGGCTGACTGGTTTAAGCAACTTCTCTTATTTCCCATCTATTCAGTTCCAGCAGTCATTCAGAATATTTTTTATTCTGGGTAGTTTAGATTTCTGATTTCCTAGTCTAGTGCCTAAAACATAGCAGACACTCAAAAGTAGTTGTGGAATGAGACCTAGGAATTATGATTCATATCTTGCAATTGAGGAAATCAGCTCTGAGAAGTGAAGTGGTGTCATGAGTCATATGGCCAATGAGTGAGGGAGCATCCAGGTCTGACCCCACACCTGGGTTCTGCCAGGAGCTCTCCTGGGGGTGGACACTCTGGAGGACCAAAGGGGTGATGGACAGAATTTAGATTTCAGTAGGGCCTGTAGCAGGGGCCCAGATGGTCAGGAGATGGAATGAGCCCACTGAGAGCCAAGTATTTCTGCCTGGTAGATCAGAGAGTTCTGAACTCAGAGGCTGAGCTATATCCAGTGGTCTCAATCCAGACTCAGGAGCTAACCTGGCCTGCCCCTGAGTTAGGGGAGACAGGGGAATGATAATATTAATGGCCAAAGTTACTAAATCTTTGTTATGCTGGGTACTTACAGGTATTATCTTCTTGAATTCTCCTAAGAAAGTCACAAGGTGGGTCCTATTTTTAGCTCCACTTTACAGATGGAAAAACTAAGGCTCAGAAAAAAGGAAACTTAAACCGGTTAGCGGTGAGGTTTGAGCCTGTTGCATCATAAGCTGAGCCGTGGCTGGTTCATGGCTGTGCCATCTATACAGTCGCACAGGGCCCCGTGCTTAGAAGGATCCCATGCTTGGTTTAATGCTCTGCTGTGTGGCTTAATAGTTTTTGAACAAAAGATCCCAGTTTTTATTTTGCCCTGGGTCTCATCAACTATGTAGCTGGCCCAAGGCTGAGCCTCACCACTTTTCTATTTAATATTAACAGCAGCCCTAGAGAAAGGTCCCATGAGTGTCCCTGTTTTATAGAAAAGGCTCCTGGGGCTAACAGAGCTGCAGCATCTGACGTGGGCATAGGAGCATCCAAGCTGGAAGGCAGTGGGTATGAGCGCAGAGCCTGCGAGCTCATCACTTCACTATGCTGCTCCTTGGGGCACTGGGTCTGCTCTCTGCTGGGGTCGGGCAAATTTTCAGTGTCCCCCTCTTTATCTTCGTGGGGTCAAGCTTCTGCAGGCAAGCCAGAGCACTTGGCACCCCCCTAGGGACCGACCAGCCAGGGGTGGACCCTGTTCTGTCCTAGATCCCGCTTACCTGAGAGGACAAGGACCAGAGCCGGTAGCAGGAAGCAGGGAAGCAAGTGGGCCAGGCAGGTGGGGGCGGGCATCATGGAGCGCATGGTACCTCCTGTGGTCCCCAGGACTTGGGGCTCCTCTGCTTTCTGTTGAGTGTTAAAGTCTGAGGTGGGGCCGTGGACAAGGCAGTTTCTGTGTCTCTTGGCCACAGCTGCTTGGGGAAGTGTTTTCGCTGCAGCAACACAAGGCTGCTGGTGCAATAGGAAAGTAGTTCCTGCTTTTGTGGCTGAGCTGTGGTTCCTGTAACCACTGTGCTACAACCTTGATGACCCCTTGCCATAGGCTCTGTCCAAGGTGCCCAGGAGGGAGATGGGTACTGAGGTCATAGGATGCACTCTGGAATCAGCTGGACTTGGGAGCAAGCACTGGATCTTCCTCTTCTTGGCTGTGCAAGATTTTAAAGTCACCATTTCTGAGTCTTGTTTCTTCATTTGCAACGTAGGAACAGCAGCAATCCCCTCCTCAGATAAGTTTTGGTGAGATTATAAGAAATAATATGTGCAAGGGCACAGAACGGTGTAAATGCTAAACGTGTTAACTATCATTATTCATGATGTGTAGAACATAGAGGAAGTAACATTCCTTCAGAAGAAGGATTTATCATAAAGCAAGCCCCATGGGGGCCTCCTTCTGGCACTGCATGGAGGGCACAAGACTAATTCCTAAAGGTATAATCATGGGCAGCTCTCTCAGCCTCCCTTTCCTGGGGTCCACGTGAAACATACTCAGATTGTGCAAACGTTTGTGTCTGTGGCATCTTTGTTTCCCGTAACTGATCTGAACTTCCTCAGGAGCCTCCTGGTGCTGCCTATCAAGAAGGAAAAGATTAACCTTGCCGATTAATGCAATCCAGGCAGTCTCTTCAGCCACACTGTTTGGGTTCAAAACTTGGCTTCACTCAGTATGGCTGTGTGACCTTAGGTCAATCATGTGAGCAATTTGTGCCTCAGTTTCCTGATCTGTGAAACAGGAATATGGTACCGTGTATGGGGTGGAGTCAGCACTCTATAGGTTTTCACTATTGTCTTTTAGCTTAACTCAGTCTTTTCCAGGCAAAAGTACAGGAACAACTCAGCCTTTTGGTGTTTCACTTCCTCCCTCATGGTTCAGAAGGTCATGGGTGCAGAGGAAGCTGAAGATTCTCCCTGCAGTAGGGTGGCAGGCCTTGGATCTGAGTGTGTCCCCTGGGTCCCAGGAACCTAGTGTCTACCATGAGGGGGGTTAGTCTGGCCTGGTCCCCAAGGACATTGCACTGGGTCTGTGACTGGTCTTTTCAAGCCTTGCACTGATACCCCTGCTCAATTCCGTTACTCCCTCTACTTGTTCTCTCGTCAATTAGACCCATACATTGAAGGTTCTTTGAAAGGGCCACAAGCCTAGATGACTCCACCAGACCCTCAGTACCTCCCTGTCATTCTTACCTGGGAACTTCTGCATCATCTGCTCAGTTATGCAGATTTCTTTCTCAGCTACTTGCTTTTATTTCCTAAAGTTTTATTTACAAATAATTTTATTTATTTTAATAGGCAAGGCATTGTATTGGTTAGCTATTGCTGCATAACAAACCACCCCAAAATCTAGAAGCTTAAAAACTAACCATTGAGTTAATTCATGATTCTGTGGCTTGACAATTCAGTCTAAGCTCAGTTTGGTGGTTGGTTCCTCTCATCGCAGCTGATATTGGCTGGGAGTGTTCATGCACGTGAGGTCAGCTGCAGGTTGTCTAGGTGGCTTTGTTACTGGAGTTGGCTGATTGTTAACCCAGGTACCTCAGGTCTCTTCTATGTGGTCTCTCTTCCTCCAGGACACAAGCTTAGGCTTGTTCACATGAAAGGAGAAGTTTTGAGAGACAGTGCAAGGTACAAGGTAACTTCTGCCATATTCTTTTGGCCAGAGCAAGTTACAAGACCAGACAAGATTCAAGGAATGGAGAATAGACTTTGCCTCTTGTTAGGAGGAGCTGCAAAGTCTTATTGTAAAAGGTGTGGATACAAAGAAGGGGTATAGAATCGTGGATATTTTTGTCAATTATCTGCCATGGGCATCCACAGAGTACAACATTCAGAGGATTCAGTGTCTCCTTTATAGGCATTACTTTCCTTAGGGTTAACCACAATCACCAGTTTTTGAAGACATTCAATTCCTCTACTGTTTCTGATCTAGTGCTCAGGAGCCGGGTTGGACATGGTTTCTTTGTGATGCTGTGACCTGTGAACACCCTGGGAAGCCAGGCTAAGGTCCCTTATGCTGCAGGAATCCCTAAATTCCATTCTCACCCCACCCCAGCATTTGAACCTCGGGAGTGTGGGGTTGGCAGGACTCTAGCATCTCAACCGCTGCCTTCTCCTTCTTTTTCTTACTACCTCACCTAGTCACAAGGGGAGGGGTTCCCCTTCTTTTCCTTCTGGTCGGGACTTTCCTAACTGCAGTCCTCTTCCTAACAGCTGCTTGTCTTTGCTTTAGCTGGAGTCCCTCCTGCTCCTTCCTCAAGACAACAAGTCTCACAATCCAGCTTTAGAATTGGAAAAAGAGCTTCCACAGAAGGAATTAAACTGCTGTGGGGTGACAAATACCAAAGGAAATACTTAAAAACATTATATCTGTCACATCATCTATAAAACTAATGAAATGTGATTGCGCATGAAGCACTGGCTCACGGTAATTGCTCGGTAACTAGAAACAATGATATTCCCTGTGGTCAGTGTGCTTGGGTATCACACGAACTGTAGTGTCTATTGCTGGCCTGAGTTCAGTTATCCTCAACAAGGGCACCCGAGGTATATATATATAGAACAGAAGTCTACACGTAAAGCTTTTTTCCTTCCACTACAAAAATGGAACTTTGCTAAAACAACAGCTTTTTCATTGTTTACCATAAAATGGAAAACATACTAAGCAAGCACTGGGAAAATGTTCAGCCTTAGCAGCAATCAAGTAAATACCAATTCTAAAAAGAGCAACGAGTGCCTTTGTAATCAGCTATCTTTCCCCACTTCTTTCTCTGCTCTCTTCTTTCTTGGAGGTCCTAAAAGCCTGGGAACATTTTCTGTAACTCCTTGACATTGTTATTCTAGAGTAAGTTCTATCAAGGAGAGGTGCTTGCTTAGATTTGGAAGGTAAAAGTAGAAGCATGCTTGCCTCTCTAGCCATGAAGAGGAGGCAGATACATGTGCATTGGTGGATTTAATTTATTCAAATGGAAGGTTTTGCAGTGCTCCCTGTCTTCTATAAATCACCTCTAAAGCACAGGCAGCTGGGATCATTAGTAGCAGTGTCTGTGAGTCTCTCAGGCTCCTGATTTTCTAAGAACTACCAGCAAACTTGGGAGATAAAGCAGTGAGAATTTCCAATGGTCTGTAAGCACCAAATGCCACAAGTCCTATGAGAACAAAGCATGGCTTTTTATGACTGAACCTTGGAAGTCATCCAGCCTCATTTCTTCCCTTCTTTTCATTTAGGAGGAAGTGTTTGGTGTCTCAATACTGAAGCCTCTAAGGTCGTTGAACTTGATTTTCTGTTATCGGCCATTTGTCTTGCCTTGCGGCTTAGTTTGCCTTTCTTGCTCCCTTTTCCTATTTCATGTCAAATCCCATGACGTGCTTTTTGGAGTTTTTGTTTTAAATTTTTACTGAGGTCTGACTTACGCTCAGAAAAAGGCACAAAATCTACCTTTACCTGGTAGATTTATACTTTTGGATGGCTTTGTGTTGCTGTTCATCATCTTTTCACTTCAACTTGAAGGACTCCTTTCAGCATTTCTTTCAGGGCAGGTCTAATGGTGATGAATGCCCTCAGCTTTGTTTATCTGAGAAAGCCTTCATTTCTTCTTCATTTTGAAGACAGTTTAGGTCTATATAGTGTTCTTTATTGGTAGTTTTTTTCTCCTCATTTCCCACTCCTTCAAGCCTACAAGGGTACTTTAGCCGATGATTTAATAGGAGCTCCTTTGCATGTGACAAGCTGCTTTTCTCTTGGTGCTTTCAAGATTCTCTCTGTCACTTTTTTTTTTGAAACAAAGTTTCCCTCTGTTACCCAGGCTGGAGTGCAGTGGTGTGATCACACCTTGCTGTAACCACAAATTCCTGGGCTCAAGTGATCCTCCCACTTCAGCCTCTTTTTCATTTTTGACAGTTTAATTGTGTCTTGGTGTAAATGCTTTTAGATTTATCCTAGCTGGAGTTTGTTGAGCTTTTTGAATTTATATGTCTATTTTTCCCCCCCCAGATTTGGAAAGTTTCCAACTGTTATATTTTTGAATCGGCTCTGTGGTGCCTTGCCATTTTCTCATCTTTCTTAGATTCCGATAGTGTGTTTGTTGTTCCATAATGTTCCACATAGTGTCCCTAAGTTTCTTATGCTCTGTTTACTTTTCTTAGTCCCTTTTTTTTCTTCTCTGTCTCAGTAATGTCATAAGTCTTGCCTTTGAATTTGTTATTCTTTCTTCTTCTTGGTAACGTCGGTTGTTCAGTCCCTCTAGTGGATTTTCAATTTACTTATTGTAGTCTTCAGTTCCAGAATTTCTGTGTGGTTCTTCTTCATAGTTTCTATCTCTTTTTGGATGTTTTCCTTTTGTTCATTCAGTGTTTTCCTGATTTTATTTAGTTGTCTGTCTGTACTCTCTTTTAATTCATTGGACATTCTTTTGACCATTCTTTTGCATTTTTTTTTTTTTTTTTTTTTTTTTTTTGCCAGATAATTCATATATTTCTTTGGGGGCAGTTTCTAGAGTTGTGATGTGTTTCTTTGAATAGGCCATGCTTTCCTGTTCCTTTATATGTCCTCTTATCTCCTCTTGGTACTTTGGCATTTGAAAACTCAGCTACCCCTCCCAGTCTTTGTGGTCTGGTTTTCTACAGGGAGGACTTTCTCCAATCAGCCAGGCTAGAGAATCTGGAGACCTGGCAGGCCTTTTCTGGGAATGTACCCTTTAGGTGTGTACTCAGCTGACTTTTTTTCTATCCAGGAGCTCCCTCTAGTGTCTGCCTCTGATGCCGCGGGCTGGCTGGTGCTGCGGTAAGCCACGGTGCTGAAGTTCCACCTAGTTTGTCTGTGATGCTGCAGACTGGTGCTAGACCAAACCAATAGCGCCACCTAGTGTTCATCTGTAAT